TCCTCCTCCTCGTCCTCCTCCTCCTTCTCTACTCACTTTCATCAAGGAATCTGCAGAGCAAGTCAGCGTCTGAAGTTGTTCATCATCGTGAGCCTACCCAGAGCTTCTCCTACGTTGCTCTCGTTGCTCACGTGAAGCAGGAAGGAGTCGTCTGCAACGCCACGTCACAAACCCACCAGCTTCATGGCGGATCCTGCTGCTGCTGCTGCTGCTGCTGCTGCTACTGCTATCCTCTGCACTCCCTCAACTTGCCATTCTCACCACCTTCTCCCCTCCCCTCCCTTATTCCACCCCCTCCCACTAACTTCCCTCTCTGCTTCCCTGCTGCTGCTGCTGCTCCTCCTCCTCCTCCTCCTCCTCCTCAACTCACTCTGGTAGAGGACCAGCTCTTGCTCGAGGGCAGTGAGGATCGTCGACTTGGTCGAGTTCTTCTTCTTCTCCTTCTCCCACAGGGGCCGCACGAGCGTCTGCGAGAAGACGATGAGGTCCTTGACGTCCTCCATGGCGAGCGAGGAGTCGCTGGGTAGCGACGCACGGAGGAGATGGTCCTGCATGGCGGGAGAGATGATGCGATCCTTGTGCTGCATGCGGTCGAGACGGAGGAGGAAGTCGGAGTGGAAGCGAGAGGAGTTGAGGGAGAGGAAGAGGGCCTGAAAGGAAGTCAGAGGAGGAGGAGGAGGAGAAGAACAAGGAGGAGGAGAAGAACCAGGAGGAGGAGAAGAACCAGGAGGAGGAGGAGGAGGAGGAGGAGGAGGAGGAGAGAATAGAGGAGGAGGAGGATAGAGGAGAAGGAGCAGGAGGATAGAGGAGGAGGGATTGGGCAGCAGAAGAATGGGTAGGAGGTAGGAAATGAAAAAAACAAACAGAGAGAAGCAGGGAGGGAGGAAAAGAGCGGGGGCAGGAGAAGGAACATAAGCCGCAAGATCAGCACAGAAGGAGCAATGAGAGGAGAGAGGAGGGAGGAGGGAAGGGAATGGAAGAGAGAGAGGAGAGAGGAGGGGCGAAGAGAGAGGAGAGAGGAGAGAGGAGAGAGGGAGGAGGGAGGAGGGAGGAGGGAGGAGGGAGGAGGGAGGAGGGAGGAGGGAGGAGGGAGGGAGGATCAAAGGGCATAACAAGGGCAGCTCTCACGTTGGCATCAGCCTTCTTCTGCTGGGATCCCTTGGCGGGGCATGTGGAGCCGTCGGTTTGATTGTGACGGGACGCGTTTGGGGTCAGGAGCGCCAGGAGCTGCCGCATGTCAACCTTGGTCTTCATGCTCTTGATTGCCTCCACGTCGAGCATGACGACGAGCCGACGGGCAATGGAGAAGGAGGCGGAGCTGAAGTCGTTGAGGTGCTGGCTGACGTTGAGAGCGTACAGGGAGGAGAGGACGGGAGAGACGGAGGAGGAGAAGGAGGAGGACAGGGAGGAGAAGGAGGAGGACAGGGAGGAGAAGGAGGAGGACAGGGAGGAGAAGGAGGAGGACAGGAAGGAGAAGGAGGAGGAGGAGGACATCTGCGAGAGCTGCTTCATGACGTCTGCCACGATCTTGCGGCCCCTCAGTCCCAACCTCTCGCTCGAGCTTTCCAGCTGCTGCCGTATCGCCGGGTGGAGCAGCGCTGTCCTCGAGGAGAGGAGGAGGAGCCCCACGAGGAGGAGGAGGGCAGAGCAAACGACCAGCAGCATCGCTCCTCTCCAAGCCGGCGCCTTGGACGGAGAGAGGCTCACGAACCTGTGAGGGGAAGAGGAGGAGGAGGAGGAGACCTTGACAGTCTGCGTGACATGCAGGGCGGAGGAAGCGATCATCCTCTTCGCCAGGTCCTCCACTGACTTGGCCTCCCTGCAGCTCTCTACCATCCAGCTGGAGCCCGAGGAGCAAGGATAGTCCCCGATCAGCTTCACATCCTCGTCCGACTGCACCGAGAGCACGCAGACGTCTGCCTTCACCTCCTCCTTCTCCTCCTCGCTCGCCCCCTCCTGCCAACCGCCGTCCTCCCAGCTGTACTGCAGCTTGAACCCAAGGTCGCAGCAGTCCAGCAGGGCAGTGAGCTGGGCATGAGGAGGAAGGGGGACGAGGAGGTGCTGCATTATGTCACGGCAGGTCAGCGCAAGGCCATTGCGCGTAGCAACGCCCCTTTCCTTGCCTTCCCCTCCCTGAGTCCCGCAGCTTCCTTGAAGGTACAGGAAGAGAGGTTTGCCCTCCTCTGCCCCCTCCACCAGCGTCGCGAAGGCCTTGATCACTTCCTCCCTCGTCGGCTGCTCGCTCTCCCCTCCTTCCTGCAGCAGGCAGATCGTCTCGTCCTCCTCCACTCCTTGCGAGCGAAGGAACTGCAGCACGTTCTCGCTGTCTCCTCCTCCTCCGCTGCAGAGGATCACGGCTGCGCGCTTCTTCTTCTCCTCCTTCTTCGCGACCTCCGAGGGCATCAAAACTATCGGCTCCTTCACTCCTGCCAGCGAAAGTTCAGAAAATGCGATACAAAACGACTGGAGAAAAGGCAAGGAAAAGGAAGAAGGAAGTAGGTTATGAGGAAGGAGGATGAAAAGGGACAGGGAGGAGAGAGGAACGAGAAGGAAGGGGGTCAAGGAGGAAGTGGGCAGAGGGCAGGGGAGAGAGGAGTAGGATCATCACGTTTCTCCGGCTCTTTCACATCAGGCAAAGGAACGCCGCGAGGAGAAGTAGACTACAAGACAGACGTCAGCAACCTTGTAGTACCTTGCATTTGTCATACACCAACACTTTCAAAGAACATCATGTCAAAGTCATGATCATGAACAACCGCGATCATCATCTCTCAACGTCTCTTTTATCACATTCATGAATCATCATAATCTCCATCATCTCGAACCATCAACTCGCTCAACCCTCTTATTCATGTATTCTTCTGCTGCCCTTTGTTGCACTCCGCAAAACTCCCTTGTGCAAAGAAACGAATCGCTATGTCGCGACCAAACATCACAAAACGATGAAAGAGACGACCAAACGAGATCCTTGTCTTCATATTCACATGCATTTTCTATCGGCGCTCTCACTCCCGCTCCCATTCTCTCTCGCTCTCTCGCCTTCCCTGCAGTCGTTACACATTGCTCCTGCTTTACGATTGCTGCCTGCCTGCCTCACAACTCTCGTCTCTGTCCTTCCTCCTCATCTCATCCCTTCCATGATCCTTCTCCTCTCCATCACCTTCCGTCGCACATCGCTCGTCTTGTTCAACGTCATCATTTTGTTCCAGGTCTCCTGCGCCCAGGTCCCGAAGTCCGCCATGGACTGTGAAACAACCCAGTTTTTAAACTGTTTCACCCCCATAATGACCGTTACGAGAGGGGGTAGGGGTACTCCAGTCGTAGCAGGGACCGAAACGGTGGGGCCGTGGAGCGAGGGGTAGGGGTACATAGAAAGATAGGGGTACGGTATGGAGATATGACATCGGGGTGAGGTACATTGTTACTACTACCCTACCATGAGGTTATGGTCGTGAGCAATAGGAAAGGGGTGGGGTAGTCAAACCCTTCAAAATTGGGAGCGTTAGGGTGGAAATAGTGGGTGGGGTAGTTGATGGCAGGAACTTTGGGGAGGAAATAGTGGGTGGGGTAGTTGATGACAGGGGGTAGTGCGGAAAGGGGTGAAATGACAACAGAAGACGGTTGTGACCATGGACCACGGGGAGGAGGTGGGGGTACTAGAGTAGGGGTAGGGGTTATTTTGGGGTCCATGGGTGTCAAGATGGTATTCACTGGGTGGGGGTCCATCTAAGGAACAAGAAACTGGGACATTTCGTGGGTAATCGACTGGATATTTGGGGGTGGAGGTCATCATGGAAGGGGTCTGCATCGGAAGTCGAACTTGGGGTCGGCACGGACGAAACTTTAATAGATAAACGCCACGAATCTATCTACCACGGGTACTCTCCCTCATGATGTGACGGAATATGTGAATACCCTTCTGAACGACGAACTAAGTTTTCGCACAGAACTGCCGTCGTATGATTGAGAGCCGCGACTCTCCGTCATACAACGGCAGTTGTTTTTTTTGCCAAATTGTCTTCGGATGTTGTTGGAGCCTTACATGAATCCTACCAAATGATGCCAGTCAGTCACTTCAATGATCACTGGCATGTCGTAAACATCGGATCATAATGGAGGCAGGCACCGGGCAGGCAGGCAGGCAGGGAATTAGGCATCGAGTCCCGAGGGACGCAGTCTGGGTAGGGAGGGGGCGACAACAATCATTGAATTCACCTCAGGGGCGACGTAGGTGATTCGGTCTTTCAGGAAACACATTGAAACAAGTGAGTATATTCAGTGCAGCATTCAAGTCCCTGGATTTGATCGGCTTTCCTTTACAGCTGTCACGATAACAGTTAGATGAAAAGGTGAATTACAGGAGTATACAAAACTTGACATTACCTCGATGATCTGCAAAATTTCAATCCTCGTACTTCACTTTTCCTTGTTTTCAACCTACAGGTCTCGTCTGGTTCTTTCCCTGTATTTTCAATCCGTCGAAGCACATCGAGCTCAGAACCACAATCGTTACAGCACTTGGTAGTACGGTATTCGTCAACATCTACGACTCTGTAGTGATTCTCGAATCTTCTTCTTATCCACCTGACCGGTACAGGCCTTTCTCCTCGACGTCCTGTAGACGGGAACCTTGCATTTCCATATGCGATAACAGGTTCTATTTCTCCCTTTCCTTTCATTGTACGGATAAACCTGTCGACTGACTTTCGTTTCGAAATGTAGATGTCGAATTTCATCCTGGCGTATTTTCGCTTTGAATAATGCGAAGTTAACTCCTCCCAATGACTTGTAACTGCAAGAAGATAGTCTTCGAATCTTGATAGACTGCCGCCAGACTTACTCGAGAACCCCTTGAGATAGTGCAATGTCGATTGAATATCTTGATCCCACGTCTTTCTTTTCTTTTTATTGCGATTCAGATGTGACTCGTGATAATATTGTTTTCTCGAAAACTGAAATCTTTTTCTGATTATTTGTTGATCATCTCTGAATTGTTCGACGGCCGATATAATGACGCTCCTCCCAGGGTCGATCGCAATTACCCTTGGGCAATTTTTACATTCTTCGATCTCTCTTTGGTATTCTGAATTTTCATGTAATACTTTGTATGATATTGATATCTTCTTCGCCGATTTCCGTTCAGCCCTTTTTCTATCGGCAAGCCATTTGGTAGTGCGCAATGAAGGTTCCTGTTCGAGTCATGGCATCGATTGTTTTGACAATTAACGTGAAGCGAAAACAAACCGATACACCGTCTGTCGTGATACTTGTAATCTCCTCTCTCTGATCTCTGAACAGATTCGAACAGTCGAAAATCCTTCTGAAATTCTTAGAGTTCTCCAAAGTTTGATCTATTCTCATGAACGATTTTTTATCTTCTCCCGGTTTCAAACTGTTCGCTTCTTTCAAAATGTAATACATCACATCATTATCGATTGTTAGATGTTTTCTGCCGAATTTCGACATTGGTGCTGCCTTGAATGTTTTTTTCGAGAGACCACGATCTTCGAAGAACTTCAACATGAACATGTGTGTCTCGATTATCTCAAACAGATTTATCTGCAACCTATGATCAAATTTGTCATATTTGAAACTAAAAAGATCTTCGTCCCCCGATAATCCAATTAGTTGTTTCATATGGTCGATGAAGGTTCCTATCTGCTGTGAATTATTCCTGTTAAACACTTCTGTCTTCAACTCGTAATCTTTCCTTTGAAACAATACATTCTTCACGTCTCAGCGATTTCTTGCTGATGGTTAATATGTAACTCTCCTTTGCAGAATTCGGCAATGAACTTTTCCAATCGGTTTGTAAAATTTGCTTTCAGGTCTTGGTAGAAATTCGTTCCATATTGATTTGCAGCGAATACAATAGCTTGCGAGTCTCCTCGAATTCTACATAAATCAACGAAAAGATGTCTTTTCTCTGACCAGAAATGTTGTAGAGTTGGATACTTGTTATCTGTACGGCTATGTTGTTCCATTCCAAGTGTAAAAACATTCCAGAAAAAGGTCGATTTGGCTCTCTTGATTTCATCCACTACATATCGTAAATTCCCTGTATCCCTGCCACCCCATATCAGAAAACAGTTGAATATCATACTGCCTCTTGATGTGATCTGACTGATATGTAATACCCATCTGTCGATCACGTCTAAAATCGATCTGTTCTCTACCTTGAGTCTCGAGTATAACCCACCGTGATTTGACGACTCTCGTGAATGGTTTTGAATAACTTATTTCTTGACCGTTGTCTGAATCATCTGTAATTCGTTTTCTCTTCCTCGGCATGTTATAGTATGTTAGTCTGGCGAAACCATGTTAGATAGCAGGTAGTCGCTACATTTTTTTCATTACCATCGTTTCAGTGTATTGTCGGACCGCAAACTCTGTAATGGCGGGAAGATGAAACGAGCAGCCACAAACTTTCCGTCGGACTCCGGGAAGGCGGGAAGATTTTTTTTTCTTTTTTAAGACCCTCATACAGCCCCATTGGATGGGTGTATCAATGACCCCTGTCATGCTGGTCCAGGACTCCTTCGGGAGTCCTTTTGTCGATTAAAGGTTAAGTCAGCGGCCCGCGCCCGGCGGCGGCGGCCGGGCACTGCCACGGTGATCGGACCCGGGCGGCCGGGCAGCGGTACTGAAGTTGCCAAGTTGACACTCAGACGTTGCGCCGCGGGGTCCGCGGCCGCCGATGCTCCGGGCGGTGTGCCAGGACGGTCGGACTGTGCAGTGCCGGCGCCGCGCGCGGCCCCGGGGGGCCGGGCCGCCGGGCGCCGCGCCGGCGGCGCGGGGCCGCAGTCCGAGCGTGACGGCCAGGGGCCGCCGCTGAGTGAAGCTCCGAGCCCGACCCGGTCAGTGGCGGACGCACTGAGTCTTTTCACTCAAACGGTTACTAGTTATGTACTTGAAAATCAGTACCGTACCGTACGAGGGCGCCTCCGTACCGTACTGATTTTTAACTTCACTTTGAGTAACTTAGAGTACCGTACCGTACCGTCACTGCCGCAGTGCCGCCGGCGTGATCGCCGGATCATAGCAGGAGAGCCTGAGAGTCCCGGAGGCCTGCTGACTCGGGTGGCCCGGCGGCCAGTTGCCTCGGACAGTGGCCCACTGGCAGGCTGGGCCGCGCCCGGCCTGGCACTGTTTCCGAGTCCGGCGAGGCCGCCGCGACCGTCTGCAGTGAGCCTGGCAGCAGCCTGAGCCTCAGGCTGCTGCCAGCCGGCGGCTGTCACGCCGCGCGGTACGGTCACGGATCGGACCGGCCCGGTACGGTACTATATGCGCCGGGGCGCGCCCACCAGTGCCGGCCCACCGTGACGGTGCCTGCCGGCGCCGCCGCCAGCAGGGCCACCGGCCCGCCGGGCCGCCGGGCCACCGCCGGGGCGGCCGGGCGGAACTTGTTGAACAGGCTGATCCTGCCGACTGCTGTCCCCTCGTTGAAACTTAACTGATACCTTCACTCACCCCCGGCCCGGCGCCGCTGCGAGCTGAGTCACGGACTCCGGCCGGGCGGCTCCCGGTCCCGAGTCACCGGGCCGTCCGATCACAGGCTCAGCGAGCTGGCCCAGGCAGTGGGCCGCGGCCACCGTGACTGGCAGGCCGGGGACCGTCTCCGGGATATGTGTAACGGTGTAACGGAGACCGTTGGGGTCAGTTGGAAATGTCGGCTGCGAAGGCGCGGGTGAAGGTGGTGGTGCGATGCCGGCCGCGAGCAGGAGGAGGAGAGGAGGGAGACGAGGGAGTCGTGAAGGTGATGGAAGAGCAGCAGGGACTGATCTCCATCCGAGCTGGAGGAGAGGAAGACGCCACAGAGCGAGAGTTTCTGTTCGATGACGTCCTTGGTGAGAGGGTGGGGCAAGAGGAGGCGTTCGAGCGGAGCAGCAAGGCCATGGTTGACCATGTCCTGGAAGGCTTCAACGCTTGTCTCTTTGCCTACGGCCAGACTGGTTCGGGCAAGACCTATACCATCTTCGGGGAGGAGGGCAAGCCGGGGGTGGCAGTGCAGGCAGTGAAGCTGCTGTTCAGCAACATAGAGAAGAAGGCAGGGAAGCAGAAGACGCTGGTCTACGTCTCCTTCCTCGAGCTCTACCTCGACAAGATAAGAGATCTCGTCCAGATCAGCTCGGCGGACGGCGAGGTCAAAGTGGAAGGCAACCAAGGCAGCAGGCCCAACTCCCGCCCGGGAACGGCGTCGAGTCGTCGGAGCGACAAGCAGGGGGAGGGCCCAGTGGACCTGGAGATCCGAGAGAACAAGAACGGTGGAGTCTACGTGCAAGACTTGCGGAGTGTGCTGGTGCACAACGTGGAGGATGTGCTGGCGTTGGTCAAGAACGGGCTGAACCACCGGCAGACCTACCAGACCTTGATGAACGAGCACTCGTCTCGCTCGCACACCATCCTCACGCTCACGGTTGTCTCCGAGAGCGGCCGAGGAGACGGAGAGACGATCAGCGGGAAGCTCAACCTGGTCGACTTGGCAGGCTGCGAGAGGCTGAAGAGGAGCGGAGCGGGCGACGAGAGCAGCGGCATCGAGGACGCCGGGCTGCGAGCCAAGGAGGCGGTGATCATCAACAAGAGCTTGAGCACGCTGGGAACGGTCGTGATGGCGCTGGCAAAGGGGGACGCGACTTACGTGCCGTACCGAGACTCGAAGCTGACGCGCCTGCTGCAAGACAGCCTCGGAGGCAACTCGTTCACTACTTTGATCGCCACCATCCACCCCCGAGCCGTCGACGCCGAGGAGTCTCTCAACACGTTGCAGTTCGCCAACCGCTGCAAGAACGTGATCACGCAGCCTCACATCAACTACCTCGACGCCGACCCCGAGGGACAAGCGAGGATCATCGAGAAGCTGATGCGGGAGATCGCCGAGCTCAAAGACGAGCTTGCAGCACAGAAGGAGCACTACGAAGAGAAGCTGCAGCAGAGGGCAAGCATGGTGGGAAGCAGCATCGAGACGGCTGCGTCCGAGGTGGAGGACGGGAAGCATGTTGCAGGAGGAGAGCACGAGAAGGGAGAGGGGTCGAGAGGAACCAGCCGAGGCTCCAAGCGAGCCCATACGGCCGACAAGCACAAGCCGGCGGCTGCTGTGTCGGACAATTATGTCAGCGCTCTGGCTGAAGCTCAGGTTAGAAGAGGATGGGAGGATGGGAGGGCGCGATAATGAGATTGTGATGGCAGGCGATGAGCAAGGAGATGAAGGAGAAGTTCGTGCGCAAGAACAACGAGTTTCGCGCTGCGCAGGAGGCGAGCAGGAAGAATGAGGAGCGCCTGAAACGGGAGATTGAAGACTACAGGCAGAAGCTCTTCAGCCTGCAGGAGGAGTCGAACTCCAAGGTGCAGAGCCTTGAGATGCAGCTTGAGAGTCAGCAGGCGAAGTTCGAGGGAGAGATCGAGCAGCTCAGCCAGAACAACTCGAGGCTGATCAACGACATGGACGCGGCCCTGCGGTCGGTACCAGAGAAGCTGAAGCTCGACTCGGAGAAGCTGCGAGGGATGGACGCGACGATCCAGCAGGCTTCAGCGAAGAAAGACGCAGAGCTGACGGAGGCCCTGAGGAAGGCGGCAGAGAACAGCGAGAAGATGCTTGGGCTGCAGCGGGAGCAGTACGAGTACTGGCTGAACAAGAAGAACGAGGACCTTAAGAACTTTATCACAGAGTTCGAGGAGTACAAGACAGAGAGGACGGCGCAGGTGAACTCGCTAGAGAGCCATGCGCTCTACCTCTTCGACTACTGCAACGCCCTCGCCACCGTCATCGCCAACTTCGAGAAGGGCCTCTACCCCGTCTACGAGAAGTCCGGCATCAAGGCCGTCCAGATCCCCCAGAAAGACAAACCGCAGCTGATGAGCCCTGAGGTGCTGCGCGACCTGTCTAAGTACCGCAAGCGAGCCGACGACTTCATCAAGGCGCACCCGACAGGCCTCAACATCTCCTTCTCGGAGAAGAACCCTACTGGCAGCGCCGGGCCAGACTTGATCGCCTCCCCGACGGGAGAGGGGGAGGAGCAGGCGAACCGCCTGCGGCTCGAGGTCTCCTCGCTCAAGGAGAAGCTCGCGGCGACGGAGAGGAAGTCAGCGCAGACGGCCGACGAGCTGCGCGCGCAGATCGAGCAGCAGGTGCTGAGCGACCTCGCTGACCACCCGACTGTGGAGTACATCAAGCAGATCGAGGACGAGCGGAACTACTACAGGGAGCAGCTCCAGGAGGAGGTGAGGAGGTGTAAAGACCTGCGGATCGCCCTCGACTCGAAGCAGCGGGTGATCGAGAAGCAAACGGGCACCCTGGAAGCCATGAAGGGCTTTACCAGAAGCAACGTCAATGGCAGTAGACTGCCCAGCGTCGTTGGCAGGTCTCGCTAGTTCTCAAGACGGGAGCAGGAGCAGGAGCTGGAGCTGGAGCTGGAGCTGGAGCTGGAGCTGGAGCTGGAGCTGGAGCTGGAGCAGGAGCAGGAGCAGGAGCAGGAGGAGCAGGGGTGCACTTTCACAAGAGTGTTTATCACTTTAAGTTAAATCAATGCTTCGAAATGAAGTTTATCAAGGGAGTCGCTGGGAGGGGCAGCAGCGACCTAAGAGACATGTACACGAGTCGGGGGAGGAGAAGAGGGGGAGGAGGAACCACATCCTAGCGCCCCTGCCCCTGCAGCAGGTTGAGCTTGGGGAGGATCAGGCCGTTAGACAGGAGGTGCGGCTCATAGGGCTGGATGCCCTGCGGTACCTGGTGCTTGGCGAGCAACCCAGCCAGTGTCTGCAGTGAAAGCGGAGACGGATTGTAGCCCAAGGAGGAAGAACCGCTGAATCCGCAGGGGATCTTTACCACGCTGATGCTCGGGGGGACGGAGCTGGTGGGGGAACTCAGCGAGCTGCTACCGCTGCTGTAGAGGCTGAGCAGCTCAAGATTGATCTGGTTCTGAAGAGATAGAGGATCCCTCGCCTGCTGCGTGAGACGCGCGAGCGGGCTAGAGCACTCCGAGCCAGCAAGAGGGCTGGAGGGGTTCGAGTTGAGAACGAGGGATGCGACGGAAGGCAGCCTGATGTGCTCCGAATCTCCTCCTGACCTGTAGCGGTCCCCGCTCGACGTTGTCCGCCGGAAGCAGTCCCTGGCACCTTGTTCGCTCCTGCACTCCTCAAGTATCCTGCTGCTCTCTTGCACCTTGTTGCTAGGAGGGGAGACGCATGGCGACGCGCACGAACCAGGCGAGGAAACGTCATGGTTGACTGGGGAGATAACCTCCTCCTGTCCTGACAGCTTCCATGTGCTCCTGGGCCTCTTCTTCGCTCTGCCAGCGTTGGGAGCCCATACTTCGCAGAAGGAGGATACAACCTTGAGGAACCTGTCAAGATCACAGTGCTGCATGTTCGACGGGAACTGAGCACAGAGCTCGTCGTGAGCATCTTCCAGCGCTGCCCTGTCCCCAGGATCACTAGGGTTCCTCCACCTGCGATAGCTGAACAGGTACATGCCAGCGCCCAGCGGGTCATCGAGCTTGTTGAGGGCCTTTCCTCTTCTGTCCCTTTCCCTCTCGAACCCAGCAGCCTGCAGCGCCTTGTTGAACTCGGTCTCGCTCAGCCCATCCTTCACTCCTCCTGTGTGCAAGCGCACGGCAGAAGGGCAGCACTCGCAGAGACAGGAGTAGAGAGAGAAGGGGCCGCTGCGAGCCACCATGTCGTTCAGAACCGGAGTGGAGGTAGTGATAGCCATGGCGAACTTGGGAGCGAAGTTCTTGTTCTCTCGCGATGCCGCCGGCCTTACCATGTTGCCTTGCTCTTCGCTCGCGCCTCACAACAAGGAAAATCGGGTAGGTGGGGTTGTCTTTGGTTGAATGGGGGTCATGAGCTAGCAAGACGGGTGGTCTTCAAAATTATTCCTAATATACCCGGTACTTGCAGTGAAATTGATGGGAAAAGCCAGGGTACTCGATGTGATAGCAGCGGGTCCACAACTTTCCAGCGTTCACTCCGAGATACGAGGGACAGGGGGTGGGGTACTGTGAGATGAGGGTAGGTGAATTGACTTTTCATAACCCCTCCTCGAGTGATAAATCAAATCGGTTTTAGGGGGTGGGGTACATGGCAGTGGCAGTTTGCAACTGATTGCATTAGGAAGGGGTGGGTAGCGAGAACACAATGAGCCCATTGGCCCCAGAGGACCCCCACCCCCTGAAATGACAGTAGAACTACCCCCTCCCATTACGTCCACCCCCTTGTATGCTTTCAACCTTTTTAAAGGCAACACCTCATACCCCCCCACTCCCTCCACCCTACCCACACCTCGGTATGTACTTAAAATCAAGGGGTACCAAGTATCTTTGTGAGGGGTGGTAGTCCGTGATCTATTGTAAAAATGTTAATCACAGGGGGTGGGTACTTGGACTTCCAAGGTGAGCCGCCCGATTAACTTTCATGAGTGACCCTAGTACCCCAACAAAACCTCATATCAGTGTAGGTGGGGTGGTAAGTAGGCCAGGTACCCCGACTCAGTAGGCTTTTTGGTCCCCCTGGAAGTAGGGTCGTCATAAGGAACAGTACATTTTTTGAAGGGCACTGTGACTCGGCTAGTAGGGTGGGGTGGTCATTATGACAATTGTCCTCGTACTGAATTTTAACTTAACATAAAGTAAAAGGCCAGTCAGTCTGACTCCGACAGGCGGCGGGCCGCTCCCCCGGCGGCCGGGTCCGATCCGAGTCGTCGGATCGGACTCGCCCGGCGCCGATGATCCGATCGGCCCGGATCGGAGTGACTCTCACTGCTCACGGGGCCCGGCGGCCAGTGACTCGATGATGAGGGTCACCCCGGGCCCGGTGACGGTGACCGGGGGCCAGCCCCGGGCCCGGGCCGACCGTCGGACGGTTCAAGTCATGCGGCCCGCCGCGGCGCCGCCCGGCCCCACGCCGCTCTCCGTGGCAATGTCTTTTCTCTTCCTGTTATACCGTACTTTGAAACTAAAAGTTTGAGTTTGGAAGTTCGTCCGAAAGTCTGAACATCGTTGAACTGAAGTTTGAAGTTTCGAATATGAAAAGTTTAGGCGCGGGAGGCTGTGGGATGGCGGACGGGAGGAAGGGGAGGAAGCAAGCAGAGACAAGGAGCGAAGAGAGAAGGGTCGATGCTAGAGATTGAGAAGAGAAGGAAGCAATGGTTCGAAAGCAGGGAGAGGAGGGCAAGGGAGACGGGCAAGGAGGAGGGCAAGGAGCGATAGAGAGAGTAGGGCGATGCCCCCAAAAAATGAGATAGTTAAGGGCACAGGGGGGGAGGGAGAAGTGATGAGAGAGAATGAGGAGAGGATCGGAGTGTATACAACAAAAGGATCAGGAAAATGAGGTGATAACATCTGACAAGCATCGTAATTTGTGATGCTGTGCTGGAAGGGAGAGGCGAGGAGAGATGAATTTCTGCTTGAAGCTGTAACCATGAGAGGTTACGTCATCTGGCAGGGCCAAAAGGGCTTCTATGACGCAGACAGTAATTCAAACAGAACAATAGGACACAGGGAGCGCTGATCAAGAGAAAAGGCCGCAGATTGCAGCGATGAATGAGGATCTTTCCGTCTCTACGTGAGAATTTTGGCAGGATGGCGGCGCAGGAGGAGCGGCTAGTACCCTCATCGCAGGCGAAGCTCGACGAACTATTCCTGTAGCCCTCCCTCCTCCTCGATGCTTGTCATCCCTGCCCTCTGACATCCCTGCCTCTCCCTCTCCCTCCCTCCCCTTCCGCGCGCCACACGGTTACCTGCCATTGACTTGACCGCTCAGTCATTGGCTGTCTCTCCCCGACGCCCAACAGTTTGTGCTGAGCTTGCTGTCAAATGTTCGCAAAGGGAAGCCCATCGGCTCTGTGGGTTCAGGTGATACTCCTGTCCCCCCGTCTCTGCTCCTCACTTGCCAGCTCTGCTTCCAGGCTTCACCAGCCCGAATGCGGAGGACAAGGTAGGAGGGATAGTTCCAGGGGAAACTCTCTCACCTTCACGCACAGACCTCGGGCAAGAATCTTGCCTCTCCTCCTCCGAGATCGCCGACGGGTGAGTAGACTCGTTCAGGTTGTCCCACCTGACGACTCCAAATAGGAAGATCGCCGAAACATTCGCCGGAGAACAATCGAGTATGTCTCGTTGCTGTGGAGTCACAGGCATAACGCTTGTCTGCTGGAACAGGAAGGGATGTGGATGGACACAAAAGATGGTCGCGCTCTCGTTGCTCTGACTGCTGGTCGTGCCTCTCACTCCCCTTGCTGCAGGCAACCTAAGCAAGGAGTTGGGAAAGGACGGAGACTTACATCATGCCCCTCACCAAGAAGACGCTGTCATGCAGGACAAGCAGCACCCAGCGGCAAGGTCGACTTGCTTCCACCTCTCGTCGTCGTCTGATCTTGAAGTCAGCAGGAAACCGGACGCATCGCTCAGCTTACCTCGCTTCTACAATCCGAAACAGCCTTCCGACGATGTTCTCGGAGCTGCAAAGCTTGTACGTCAGGCTTGCCTGCAAGGGGAGGAGACTGAGTTGATTGACCAGGAATTGGAGGAGATGACACAGCTGTTCAACTCAAACCCTGAGGGCCTCAACAGCGAGAACTTCATTTCGTTTGCTACCAAGGTATCAGGACAGCGAGCGGAGGCGAGAATTGATGAAGTCGCAATAGGTTTGCGGCTACCCTTCCTTCCTGGCCCCAACGCTCTTCGAGAAGCTTGCGGGCGATGAGACGAAAGTGTCGCAGGCACGCTGAGAGCTACTCGTTCATCCCTCCCGCTGAAACTTCTCGCAGGCGAAATGCAGGTTTTGGTGGGAAAACAGGTAAAGGCCACGATGCGTGTCACGTTGTGTGCTGAGCTGACGATGATTGGGTGAAATCAGCATGAAGCACAAGAAGCCGGAGGTGAGAGGAGCAGCTGGAACCTGTTGAGTCATTGAGCTGGGAGTGCAGGCGCGTCTCTTTGACCTCTTGAAGGGTCAGGGATCGAACTACGTGACCCGCGAGGACTGGATGAAGCACCTTCGTTTCTTGCTCGACACTCACCCTGGTGCCTCGTGCCGCTGCCTTCTCCTCCTCCGTATGTCTTATCGTCTTGCCAGGACTTGACTTCCTTAAGGGAACCCCAGAGTTCCAAGATAGGTCTGATATCCGCCTTATGAATTGCTTTTAGGGGAAGGGAAGGGGGGGTGAGGAAGGGAACAAAGGGAAGAAGGGAGGGAGGGAGGATGGGGAAATGAAAAAGAGAAAGGGAAGAAAGGAGGGAGAGAAGGGATAGCATTTGTCTGGTGCTTGACGCTTGCGCTATCAGATACTTGGAGTGTGTCGTGGAGAGGATCTTCTACGTCAACAATCGAGCTGAGAATGACAAGATGACACAAGTGACCTCCCTCGATCAGAGTTGCGACCGTTGACGCTTTCCAGCTGGACTTTGTCAAGTCCAACCTCGTCAAAGTTCTCAAGTACGTGGACGAGGAGCCGGACATCAACAAGGTGCTGGACTACTTCTCGTATGAGGTAAGAGCCTCCTCTGACCACGAGCTCGGCCTGACCCTCTACCTCAGCATTTCTACGTCCTCTACTGCAAGTTCTGGGAACTTGACAACGATCACGATTTCCTTTTGGATAGGTGCAAAGACTCTGGGAGAGGGTGGTGAAGGAAGAGGAGGAGGAGGAGGAGGAGGAGGAGGAGGAGGAGGATGCACCGAGCGGGGAAGGGAGTGACTAGAAGGCTGGCAGAGATGACCTGGTCAAGCTCTCCAACTACGCCTTGACATATCGCATCGTCGATCGGATCTTCTCGGGAGCTTGCAAGCCGTTGTCATCGGGGACTGTGAGTGAGTCCTGACCTGCCGTCCCCGCTAAGAGATGCGCAGCCGGACAAGCTGGGGTATCAGGATTTCATATGGCTGCTCCTATCGGAAGAGGACAAGCACTCTGGTGAGGCAGCCAGGGGATCGGGAAGGATGTTGACAGAGGCGCGCAGAGACTGCAATCCGGTACTGGTTCAGGGGGATCGACCTCGACGGAGATGGGTAGGAGGAGGGAAGGGGAGGGAGGGAGGAGGAAGTGACGGCGAGCAGATACATCACCCCACATGAGATGGAATATTTCTACAAGGAGCAGGTAGCTAAATCATCCCCTTCCATCCCTCCCTACTCCCACCTCTCCCCCTCGCTCTTCCTCCCTCCCATCCTTCCCTCGCTCACTTCCCTGCTACTGTCTCGCTACCTCTCCTTGGTCCTGCTTCTCTCGCAGCCTCTGGAGGTCTACGATGGATTGAGCTGCTTTCCAGCTGCATCGCATGGACTGCTTGGCGCAAGAAGTCGTGCAGTTTGAAGACATCCTGTGCCAGATGACCGACATGGTCAAGGTCAGCTGAGACTTAGCTGGGGAGGGAGGGAGCTGACCCGGTGACAGCCGGCGAGGGAGGGATACATCTCGATGCTGGACCTCAAGCGCTGCAAGCAGCCGGGAGTCTTCTTCAACGTGCTGTTCAACCTCACCAAGTTCATCCAGTACGATCAGGTACGTTGCTCTCGTGCTCTCCTCCTCTACTTGCCCTTTAAACACCCTCCCGGTCCCCCCTGACCCTTTGCCCCGCGCGATCTCGCTGCTCCTCGCATTCGTTCCTATCTTTGTGGCGTTCCTCCTCCCTCCTCCCCCTCCTCTTCCATCAGCTCCTCATCCTCCTGTGAACTCCTCACCCTCTTCATCCTCATCCTTCAACCTCCTCCTCCTCCTCCTCATTCCCCTCACTGTCTCCTCCTCATTCCCTCCTCCTTTTCTGACCGCAAGACTTGCAGAAGGATCCTGGTCAAATCTTCAACGAGCGAGCGACGCCCGAGCTCACTGACTGGGATCGCTACGCCAAGATTGAGTATGCGAGGTAAGACAGCGAAAGGAGACGAGAGGGAGGGAATGGCGGGGAGGGAAACGGAAGGGAAGGAGAAAGGGAGAAAGATGGAGAATTGAAGGACAGGGGACGGGGGAGTCGAATACAAGGAAGAAGGGGAGGGAAGAAGCGGGAAATGCTGGAGAAGAAGGGGAAGGAGAAGGGAGTTGTGGGAGGGAGGAAGCGAGAGGAGAAATGATGTAACTTCAGGCTGGCAATGGAGGAGGATCAAGGGGAGTATGCGGATGAGGTACCTTATTGCTCCCTCTTCAAGCCCCTCCTCACTATCACTCCAGATCGACTTCGGCGGAGAGGGAGGAGATGACGTTTGAGCATCGTAGACAACGGAGGAGGAGGAGGAGGAGGAGGAGGTATCTGTCGGATGAAAATTTCATTTCTTTCCTTGATGGGCGGAGTATTTTATCTCCTGTTGTCAAAGAGGAGGCGGGAGCGAAAGGAGCAGGAAGGGGGGGGGGGAGGAAGCAGGAGAGGAGGGGATGTAGGTTGGGGGGATGATCAGGAGGAGATAGTTGGGGCAACGATGACGATCCAGAGGCTTCAAAGGGTACGCGGCTGACTGGCCGGCCCCCTGGACGGGGAGGAGGCCTCGTCAGCCCGCAAGCTCTCAGTCTCTAAGTGGGTGAGGAGCGATTGGATCTCCCGGTCGGTGTTGTGGATGCGGAGGAGGAGCTCTCCCCCGAAATGCCACTCGGGCTCGCGGTCAACCCCGCCGAAGTCCCTGGAGGTCTAGGTGAGAGGAGGGAGGCAAGAAAACTGTGAGATGTTGGGAGGAGGAGGAGGAGGAGGAGGAGGAGGAGGAGGAGGAGCAGCAGCAGCAGCAGCAGCAGCAGCAGCAAGAAGAGGAACAGGTGAAGGAGGAGGAGGAGGAGTTACCTTGCTAGGCGGTTGCGAGTATCGGAGAGGACAGAGAGGGTCCTGACCTTGCGAATCGATTCCTTCTCGCTGCTCAAAAGCGAGTCCAGCTTGTGGAGGAGCCAGGCGAAGTTCTCGGGGGGGGAGGAAGACTTTTCCTCCTTCGTCTCCTTCAGACGCGACAGGTTCCTACTTCCCCCAGACACTTCAGCGAGCCTCCCGCCCTCCCCTTCCCCTTCCTCACCTTCCCGTCGAGATCTCAAGGCTCCCGCCATCCCCCTGCTCGGACTGTCACCGAGGGCGTCGCAGGTCAGGGAGCTCACCGACATGCTGCCATGGCAGCGGCTGCAGATGGGAAGGGGGTCAGAGGTCCTCTTTGCCGCTTGGAGCTCTTTGATCCTCCGCTCCTGGTGCTTCACAACCGTCTCGAGGTACTCGGCGTACGTCGTCAACTCCTCTACCGCGTTGGAGCTCTGGGGAGAAGGAGGAGAAAGTAAGGAGGGAAGACACAAGGAGCAGAAGGGAAGGGAGGACGACAGGAGGAGGGAACGAAGCAGCGGGGTAGAGAATTGGAACATGAGGAGAAGGGGAGAGGAGAACGGGAGACGTGAGAGGTGAGGGGAAGGGGGAAGGGAGGAGGAAGAAGAGGTCAACTGGCAAGGGTCATATGATCTAGCAAGGCTACCTTATGGAACAGCTCCTGATCCTTTTCGAGCTCGAGATCCTGTTGGGCAACCCTGAAGGGACCTCAGATGGAATGAAAGAAGAGAGCAGAGCAGAGCAGAGCAGAGCAGAGCAGAGCAGAGCAGAGCAGAGCAGAGCAGAGCAGAGCAGAGCAGAGCAGAGCAGAGCAGAGCAGAGCAGAGCAGAGCAGAGCAGAGCAGAGCAGAGCAGAGCAGAGCAGAGCAGAGCAGAGCAGAGCAGAGCAGAGCAGGGCAGAGCAGAGCAGGGCAGAGCAGAGCAGAGCAGAGCAGAGCAGAGCAGAGCAGAGCAGAGCAGAGCAGAGCAGAGGCGAGCAGAGCAGAGGCGAGGAATCAACCTTGCCCTCAGCTCAGCGATCTCTCTCTCCATCTCCCTTGTCATCTGCTGCCATCGTTACCTCCCACTCTCAGTCCTCCGTCCTCACTCACGTCAGGATTCATCGCGGGGGCCGCCCCAGCCCTCACCCTCAGCTCTGTGCGCTGCCGATGCTCCGACCCGAGGCGAGGAGAGAGGATCTGGTGCTGATCACTCGCAGCGAAGGTAACGAGCACGTCGCGTCTCTTCCTCGTCGGCTCGTCGAGCTTCTCGCATCGGTCGGGGTCGATGGGCGAAGGAACGCAGTCGAAGGTCGAGTCGACGGACGGGGAGTTGCTGATCTCTGGCAGGAAGGAGCAAGTCTCGGCATCGGCATCTACTTCTGCTCGCTGGAGGTTGGAGAAGAACAGGCTGTCGTCACGAAAGGACGGCCTGTCAGGAAGCTCCTTCCCTTGCTCCTTCTCCTGCACATGATCTCGTTGCTGCCGCGTCGCCCTCGCTTCCTCCTTGACGTCGTACTGCAGAGGGCTGGGATTTTCAAACGTGTCGACGGAAGAGCTCGTCTCCGCGCTCCTTCCATCCCCTGCCGCCCAGTCGTCTTCGCCTCCTCGGTCTCCATCAGCTTCGTCGCTGCCTGCGGCGGCAACGCAATCTCCCAACTCTCCTCCTCCTCCTCCTCCTCCTCCTCCCAACGTTGCTCCTCTCGCCTCTTCGTCTTCATACTTGTGACATGGTGCCTCGTCCTCGGCCCTGTCCTGTTCCACGGGACTCGCTTCTGCCGTATCCCTTCCATCTACCCGACTCTCGATCCTTGCAACCCCCTCCCCCTCCCCCTCCCCCTCCCCCTCCCCCTCTCCTCTTCCCTTCTGCTCGCCTCGCCGTCTCCATCTCCATCTCCCTTCCGCTTTTGCCCCGCCCTCTTCCTCTTCCTCTTCCTCTTCCTCTTCCTCTTCCTCTTCCTCTCCCTTCGGGGGCCTTCAGGTCATCAAGAGCTGGGAGGAACTTGTCATCTTCGGGGCTCGCTGCCTCTCGTGACGTCACGTCCTCCTCCTCATCATCATCATCCTCTTCCCTCCCCTCCTCCCCCTCTTCCCTCCTTGCAGACTTCCAGCATACAATGGTCAAGCTGCGAGCTAAAAAGAAATGACTAGCCCTGACACCTCAAACCGTTTGACTTTGTAGGCTTTATCCTCCCCCTCCTTTGTTTGCTCCGGTTTGTCCTTCTTTTTCAGTCAATAAAGAAAGACTCCCGCGTCAAAACTTTGTGCCGTCGGGCGCGGCCCGGCCGCGCACTCAGCGGCAGCCGCCCGGGGGGCACAGTGGCAGCGACAGAGTCTGATGGTCACTCAAAGCCTCCGAGTCTCACTGTCCACTGCTCGGCCGTCCCAGTACCGCAACGTAGCCCTGCCCGGCCTCAGTCACTGGCCCCGACTCGCCGAGCCTTGGGACTCGGATCATCCGATCGGATGATCGCCGGCGGCCGGGGTTGGGTCGCCGCCGGGACTTCAAAGAACCACCAGTCGGGCGCCGTCCGATAATGGCGGCATGAAGGCCGCGGGCCGGGGCCGGGGGCTCGATGGATCTTCGAGTCGGCTGACACCGCGGCGAGCCTCCGAGGCTCCCCCGGGCCCTTGATGCCTTGAAGTTCTTCACCGATCAGCCTAGTCAGTCACGGTTAGCCCAGGCTGCCTCGCCGGAGTCACTCGGAGGCGGCAGAAAGCCCGGCCCGGTAACTGAACGAGTCTAATGACACGGTCACTGCACTGGCGGCGGCGTTTAAGTGGCTCTGAGGGCGGTAGATGAGTGGAAAATGACACACGGGGCAGGCTCGGATAAGGATGGGCCATCGTTTAGGCAAAACAATAAACTGAAATCGTCTCTTGTACCAGACTTTCCACGAAAAAATCCCAAAACCAATCGCGTTGAAGCCGTTGAGGGGCACTGTCCGATCCGAGCGGCGGAGACCGGGGCCGCCGGACTCTGGGCCGACTAGCCGCAGCACTGCAATAGGATGACCGGGTTACCTAAGCTGGGGGTGACGTCTGAACGTGACGCTCATGCGACGAGACTTCAAGGGGGCGATCGCATGCTGTACGTCATTGGCGGCCACGTCATCTGCTCGCAAGTTATGAGCCTTCGGCCTTGCATGCGCTCAACGGTTCGGCTCACCTGCTAGCAACACAGACCGGCGGGGCAGCTGGAAGCTGTAGCCGTCGAGCTGGCCGTTGGGGTGCAGCTCGATGCGTCCTCCGTTGTCCCCGAAGACCACATCAGCCTCCGAGAGCAGCGAGATTGTGCTGGGGCCACAAGTGTCAGCAGCAGGACCCGGTGCCTTAACAATGGCAGCCACCAGATCGGCCGGAGAAAGTCCTTGCTGTCCACGTGCGGCTGTAGCTGATCGCCTTCCTCATACACATTCACCACGGCAGTGTTGGGTTTCTGCGAAAGAATCATCCCGAGGAGAGGACAGGCTGCCTTGCTCACCAGGTTGGGTGGGATGATGCCCTCCGTGATAAGAGTGGACGACAGGTCCAACAGCACCTCAGGCAGAGGCTCGACATCCTTCCCCCCGGCCGAGTTCTGGAAACAAGGAGTATCAGTCCCAAGTCTTGCGACACCGTGATCCTCTACATCGGCATAGTTGCAGAAGATGCCGTAGTGGAGCTGGGCGCCTCGTTTCGAGCCCTTGTGAGCTGGCACGTATGTAGCCCCTTTGAGCTCCTTCCTCTTGCCACTTCACGCCCAAAGGATTCAGAGCCGGCATCGAGAAGTGAAACAACCCACCGTGCCAGCTGCTCGTTGATGAAGTTGACCAGGAAGGATTCGTACCTGCAGAGAGCAAACGATCAAACCCACAAGGCTCGACGCAAGGAAAAGAGGTCTTACTTCTGATCGATAACATTGTGATAGAGTGCAAGGCCACGGAGCAAATTCCCGTTGATGACGTTGAGCTTGTCGCTAACATTGAACGTCTTCACCTGTGCAGGGTTTCACTAAACATAAAAATCGGTATATCAAATCTCTAAAGGCAGCAGTCACCAGCTTTTCATCGACGATCGAAGGAGCTTCCTTTTTCTTGGTTGTGTGAACGACTTCCCAGTCATCGCCTGCACCACAGCTCGTTACTGCATCACAAACACAATGGCCGGCGATGCAAGAGAGGAAACCAAGACTTTCCTGGTCGAGCGACGTTGTCGTTGGTCGACGTTCTTTGAGCCCCTTTCTTATTTCCTACTGGACACTCCGAGTGAATCTGACTGGCTTGAATTAGACTGAGATCACCTGATTCCTGCAATCGCTTGATGGCGTTTTCAAGCTGTGCAACGCTCATGTTTTCCAAGTCGAAGTACTCCTGATGTCCCAAGCTCTTCTTGAGCGAAAGAAGCTCCCTCTTGCGTTGCTGCAGCATCGCATCTGAGTCAGCGGGAGCTTTGGCCATCGCCTTGGAGTTCTGGTTGTTGACCATAGTGCCCTGCAAAGCTCTTGCGCTGGCGCCAGCATCTTGATTGTTAATGTTGCCGCTCTTCATGTCCATCTGTGGGTCAGCCAGCGGGGCCCCTGTCGGTCTTACGGCAGGCTTTCCGTTTCCATCACCTTGCCAGGTGCCTTCAGACGATGGCACCTCGTAAGTGCTTGGAATGGGGGCTTGCGGCACGCCAGACCGAGCCATCCCCACCCCCGGCACGGAAAAAGTGATGCTGGGATCCACGTCCTGCGGGAGTTGCTTGTTCGGAATTATCTGAGGAGCAGCAGCTTGCGGCTGAACGCCCCCCTGGTTTGGCACCGGAGCCGAAGGCTGCGAGGCCTGGGGTTGGGGCTGAGAAGGCTGCTGCATGTGCTGCATGTGCTGCATGTCGTGGCCCTGTCAAGGCAAATCTCAAACAAGCGAACAAACAGACAGGCTGGTACCTGCATGTTGTTCATCGATTGCATCTGCTGATGCATCTGCTGCATTTGCATCTGCTGCAAGTAGGGATTCATCATGACGTTGTTCATGTCAACCACTGGCCCTCGATTTGGGGGCGGCATGCCCATTCCGACACCGCCGGACTCCTCCATCCGCCCATGCATCATCGATTCGTTCATCTGGACGTTTGCTGGCATACCCATCTGAGCCATCTGCTCCCTCTGCCTGAACATTTGGAGGAAATGAGCTTGTTGCGGGTGCATCACCATACGTGACAACATCTTCTCCTGCTCCAGCTGTTGGAAAAGTTGAAGCTCGCGTTCTTCAGCCACGCGCAAGGCTTCCTGCATTCTGGCCTTCTCAAGCTTCAGCATCTCAAACTCAGCTTCCACCCTCTTCAGCAACATTTCGTCGGGGTTCACTCCTCCAGTGTTCAAACTTTTCTCATTCTGTTTTTGTTCCAGCAAAGCCTTTTCTCTATGCCATGAAGCTTTCTCGAGTTCCAACTGAGCAAGCAATCATCACATTCTACAGCAAAAATTATAATCTAGCCACTTAGTACCGTTTTGATAGTGTTCTCCATTGATTCACGAACTCTTTCAGAATCCTTGAGTCTGTCCTGCGAGAAAAAACGTTGAGAGAAGAGCACAATCTCATGTTTTGACGCTAACAAACCTGGAGCGTAAAAATCTCTTGGCGCATGCTCATCTTGGTCTGATGGTCTTGCGCAATGAAAGCATGCAAGGCACTGTTCTCTGGTTGGGACAGGTACATCAAGATGACCTCTGGCGCAATTGGGATTGGGTGCATCGAAGCGTTCTGTCCCATCGAATGCTGATTTCCTGGCATGTTCCCGGGATTTCTGTCCATGGGATGCATACCCTGGACTGCTCCTGAGATTCCTTGAACCACCTTTAAAACAAACTTGAGTCCACCAAGGATGTCTACAAACTCAGGTTACAGATGCGATGCCGGAGTTCTGGTTGGAATTTTGCAAAGCACCAAGGGAAATTTGCTTGGAGACCTGGAGAATACAAATGAATTCTTGGTATCAAAACATGAATGATGGTGAAAAATCATGCTTTTCAATCTGTTGCAATCAAAGCAGAAATTCGCTCACATGGTCTGCAACGTTGGCATTACAAACATGTAAAAACCCTTAAATCATGCACCTTCGTCTTGTCGAATGGGGCCGGCGGAATCTGTTCCCCTGTTGGTTCTAGTCAAACATGCACTACAAAGTTCCAAGAAGCAGCACTGAGTATCAAAGTGGCTTACTTGTTTGCTTTCCCTTCTTGTTGTCCGTTCGAAAGAGCGAAGTTGATGATGGCCGAGTCTTGCTGTGCACCACAAAACAAGTTCAATGCCGTATCTAAACCATGATGAACAGCTCACCTGTGCTTGACCAACAATCGATGCCGCCTGCAATCATTTTGTTTCAGTCATGCTGCCAGATATGACAGCGGACAATGTCAATGCAAACAACCTGTGTGTTGCCTTCCTGCGGCTTTCCACTTCCTGTGCCATTGCTGGGTGGGAATGAAGGGACTGCGTCTGAGAATCTTAGAACAACATCTAGTGGAAGGGAGGCCGCCCATACCTTGTGCACGAGGCTCGGACAGTGCAGGGAAGGATGATGAAGTTGAGGCGGGGGGTCCCACGTCGACACCACCGACGTTGGGTGAAGGCGGTTCTTCATCCTCGTACTGATCAAACGATCTAGGTCAAACACTGACATCGTCCACCAGTTTGAGCTGATCATCAATGATAGGCGGCAAGATAGTCTTGCCCATGGGATGGGACACAGCGCGCTGAGACTTTGCGCATGCAATCAGCAGAATGTTACCTCGCCTCGAGCTGACCGCCCTCTCCCAGCAGCTTTTCTGTACCTTTCTTCTTCGATTTCAGCTGCAAGCTTTTCAGCCCGTCGCTTTTGCTCTTCGGACAGCTTCTCAGGATCAAGTTTTGTGGTATACAGCTGTGGTCAACAAAACTTCAGTGCCATCGGTTGAAATTTTCGCACATGTCGCGCAGACGCAATCAAACATTGTATCAAAGCACAGGCAGACTGATCCTACCTCTTCCACGAAACCTCCTTCCTTCCTGCGTCCAGGAGTTCCATCCTTCCTCTGCGTGGCAACAGGAGCTGTTTTGCTGTTGAAAGGCTTCGGGATTCTGAAAGAGCACGCGGGTTCAGAGGAGCAGCTCATGAATTTCTCCTCTATAATCATATGAAAACACACAACAACATCATCTACAGCTTGCCGAGTACCTCAGCCCTCGTCTCCCTCCGTCCCCACACTCCCCCCAGACCCCAGGCAGAGATGCCGAGCACAGACACCTTCCTCCTATGCTTACCCGTTGGCTTGCTGCTGTCCCTGGTAGGCAGCCGGACTCATTCCTCGTCCTTCGGTCTGCATTTTCTGCGCTCCTCCCGTGGACTGCCCGCCGCCCCTTCCACCCCATGCCCCCTGGCCTCGCTTTCCTTCCATTGCCATCCTCGACGTCAGAAGCTTCGTTGATCCCACCCCTTTGACCCCTACCCACCCCCGATTACATTACCCTCACTAATCTTTACCCCTACCATGTCTTAGACTGCTTTTTACCCACCTTTTTATGATGTACTACAACCCAACCATTACCCACCCCTGTATATTCTATAACCCTACCTCATCATGTCTCCCTGAGCTCATGAAAAAAATACGCACCCTACCTTACTGTTCTTCCTCATGTCGCCATCACCCCACCTCCCTCGTTCTGAGAATTCAAAAGGAATTTTTGTGGGTACATCAGTAACCCCCACCCTTGCTATTTATTGACCCTACCCCCTCGATGCAGTTTTGACACTTTTTCATGGGTCAACGCGCCTTCTCCCGCCAAAAACATTAACTGAAAGTTTGTGGTTGCTTGAGAAGACCCACATGTAACCCTACCCCTTCTTTTACCTTAATATGACCCCATCAAATGAAGGCAAAATAAGGGGTAGTAATTTACTGACCACCCACCATCTCCCCCGCTAGAACCTCCTCGTGCGTTTGGTACCCTCATCCCCTCCATGTGCCATGTACCTCATCCCCAACCAGACCATATTCCCTCATCCCATCTCTTTCCCACTGTCTGACGGTACCCCCGCATCCCCGCTCACCATCTGGTGCTTTTCCTTGGATGTGTCCCATGCAACAAGGCCACCCCCACTACCCTACCCTGTCTTTTCACCCCCACCCTCACAAATACTTCTTGGTACCCCACCCCAACAGATTCCATTGACACACTTTGGTCGAGCCCTGCTATAGAGAAGCACACCCACCCATAGGGACTACCCACCTACCATCAAACACCACTACCCCACCTTCCCTACTACCCCCACCCCTACGTTTCAAGGTCACTACCCCCGGGACTTCCTGACTCCTCCACCCCGCTGGCGCTCAATCATTACTACTATCCGTCCTCCAGCGCCCGCTCCCGCTCCCTGCGCGCCCTTGCCCCCTCCTAACCACCGCCTCTCTGTTCCTTCCTCCTCCTCCTCCCAGCTCTCGGTTTCTTGTTCCACATCCCTATTCCTCCTGTCTTCGTTCCCATCGCTCGGTGCAACCTCTGTCCATTCGCTTACCTTGTTCGGCCCCCTGTCCATTTGCTTTCCTTTCTCTTCGTCTTGGGTGTTTCCAAAGTCATCCGATACACCCAGGGATGAAGTCGATAGACAGGAAGGTGTTGCTTCCCTTCTATTGCGCTCTTTATGTCTTCGCCCTGGAGTATACCAGCCCGGCATTGTCCTCCTTCATATCGCCGTTACCGGACGCTCACAACTTTGGGAGGGCGGCGCTCAAGAGTCGATGCGGAAGGAGAGACCCGCGAATACTTGAGGCGAACCAAGTCCTCGTGCGACTGAGAATGAAGACTCTTGCTCCGCACACCGTCGGGCCGGAGTCCAACAAGAACTCTGGTGGAGGCAACTCCGTGCTGCGTCCGCACGGCGCGGTTTCAGCCACGGCACCCTTCACGTCTAGCTCAAAGCTGATGAACCAGCGGGTGGAGGACACTCAGACTGATGATGTGAACGCGACTTTCGCGCTGGGTAAAGAGTTGGTGAGAGCTGGCAAGACCAACGAGGCCAAGTTGTTGTACCAGGAAGCCCTGTTGAGAAACTCGGGCAATGGCAAGATGTGGATGAAGCTGTTTAAACTGCACAGGTCGCAAGGAAGCCTGGAAGAAGCGCGCTCCTCTGTGCGGGAAGCACTGCGGCACAACCCTTGCAATGCTGTCTTGTGGCAGGCGTGGGCAGACCTCGAGAAAGACCTTGGAAGGCATGACGCCGCTCGGCAGTTGTTCAAGAAGGGCATCGAGGCGAACCCAAGACTGCCGTCCCTGTACAACTCATGGGGTAGGATGGAGCGCGATCTCGGCAACGTACAGACTGCCCGGCAGATACTGGAAGATGGACTGAAGCAAGCTCCCACATCCGCGCGCCTGCTCATTGCGCTCGGGATCCTAGAGGACGTCGAGGGGAACAACGAGGTAATGCCCAACAATATGTGTGTGACTGTTTCTGATTCTCTTGTTTCCGAAATCAAAGAATGCCCGCCATCTTCTGCTCCATGGCATCCAATCCGAGCCAAACAATCCCTTCACTTATCAGGCCATTGCAATGCTCGAGTATAAGTTAGGTAACGTGGCTGATGCCCGAGAACATCTTCGTCGTGCCATAGCGTGCGACCGGGACCATTCAATGTCATGGTTGAGTTGGGCCAGGCTGGAAGAGAACCTGGGAAACCTTGACAACGCGCGAACAGTCTATTCCAATGCCTGTAAGTCGTGTGGCGGTAGGGGAACTGCCAATCTTTGGCAGTCGTGGGCAAGGATGGAGGAGCAGCAGTCAAATGACAGAGTGGCTATAGACATCTACAAGAAAGCGATAGCTTTCTTTCCGAAGGACGCACAGCTGTTGGTTGAATACGGCAAGCTGCTGGAAAGACGTGGAGAGATCGAGACTGCAAGGAGAATGCTGAAGGAGGCGTTGAAAGCCGACGGCTCCAACATTTACGTCTATCAATGTCTCGGGCGATTGGAAGCAAGCCAGTTCAACTATGAGCAAGCTCGCGTCGTCTTTTCTGCTGGAATTTCTGCAGCGGAGGCCCAAGTACAGAGCATGTTCAACTTCTCTCGCTCTTCTGTGAGTAGCTAGCTTTCCCCCCACCGTGTGCTGCTTGCTGCTCTTGCGTGCGCCCTTTGTCCTTCTTCCTTTGGTCTGTGCGATGCGAATGGTTCTCCGAGGGATGCGTTTCTCCCCATGTTGGTGTTCCCTTCAAAACGTGGACTAGCGCTCTCGTGAAGTCGTACCTTCTAACTGTGTCCATCTCAGGAGAGCGGCAGGTCAAAGTTGGATCGAGCCATGGCGGATCTGCTCCACACATGGGCAATCTTTGAGGAGAAGGTGATTTCACTTTGTTTGGTGTTGTAATGGCTCACGTTGCCTCAGGTCGGCAACAACGTCAACCTGTCGCGATCTTTGTTTCACCGGTCTGTCTATCCTGTTGCTTGAAATATTCTCACACACGTTTCCTTAGGGCCATCGGCTGCTGTGAGACTGAGGGCTGGTTGTGGCGATCCTTCGCGGAGTTTGAGAGGAGACAGGTGAACGAAATTTGAGGTGGGAGGCAGGAGGCAAAAGCATGACCGAGTGTTACAGGGAAACACTCTGGTAGCGCGACACTACTTTGCCATGGCCGTCAACAATGAACCTCGCGATGGACTCAACTGGATTTCATGGTCTCAGCTCGAGGAGAGGTGCGGCTTTGCTCCTAGCCTGTCTTGACAGTCAGTGAGCGCGTTAGCAGCATGGGCGAGAGCCACCGAGCAAGTTTCTACTCCAGACGAGGGGCAGAACTTCAGGCAAGGCAGCAGATCCGTCAAGGTGTGCACCATCACTTATGCTTCTCAGTTTCTTGCCTCTGACCTCATATCGATTAGCCTTGGGTGACTCACGGAAACCTCTGATGCGACTTTGGAACGCCCGATGAGGGAGCGAGTGACCTCCGGCGGCGACCGTGATGTCTGCCTGCAATGCCGGGACCTAGCCTCGACGGTGAATGGCCCGGCGGCGGCGCGGGCGCACAGCGGCATTCAACGCCAACGCCCGGCCGGAGTCACGCCGTTGGCCGAATTGTACTACAATGATGTAATAGAAGTCAGACTGTGCAGTGCAACTTGGTTACTTTTCGGTAAAGTTACTGAGTTTGATTCGTAATGGGTACCTGCTGCACTGCAAGCCCGACCGGTCGGGAAGTTGGCCCATCCGCGTGCCACGGTCGCCCGACTCTCAGGTCGGATCCGGTCAGTGCCATGACTGGGATGACGGGCCGCCGCCCGCGGCGGTAGGACCGACGGCGGGCCCGGTGCCCGGCAGGCTGCGTTTGGTTCAAGGTTGCCAGCACGTCACGGACGGCTGGGCCCCAGCAGGGTCGTACATCGAACGTTACATGGAAGCGTAACGTTTGTTCCTCTCAAGGGACTATGGCACTGATATGGCGGGAAGGCTGTTGGTAACGGCGTTGCTCATGCAGCAGACGGTGGTGACATGCGGTCTTCAATGCTTATCGAACAATGGCAACTCCACCACTGCATTCCCCTCAAACACCTCTAAGACTTTGGAGTGCCAGAGCAAGTACGCATGCGGAGCTGTGCTGCTGTATGGAATTGACAGCGCTTACTTCAAGAAAGGCTGCGGAGACAACAAGTCAATGTATCCCTCTTGTGCTTCTGCAGACGCACGTCTGCGTATCAATCTCGCGAGCTGATCAGCGACTGTACCAGGCCTTGCAACTGTATGCTGACTTGTTTACCGAACTGGGTGAGCACAGGAGAAGGTGCAGGCAGTCCCCTCGCTGTTGCACGATTAAGAGGCCATGGCAGGGACCTGGACGATGATGGTGGATAGGCAAAAGCTAGAGGGCAAGACCTTTACCAAGGTAGGATGAGACGGTCTTGTTCGTGAGCCTGACTGTGCGCAGCTGTGTACCTCAAACAATTGCAACATGGATTGCAGTGGAGCGGCAGACCTGACAACCTTCCAGCAGTTGGCTATCTACGTGAGTGCATGAGGTCATGTTGACAGCTCTTGACTGTCGGTCTGCAGGCGGTTCTAGTCACCCTGCATCTTCAGAACGTCTTTTGTTGAGACGAGTTTGCGCATAAGAATGGAATGGTGGGAAACCAATCCCTCGAATGGCGAGGGAAATAATTATATTGCGAGGATGATGTGATTGTGTAGTTTTTAACAAGAAGCAATACATGTACATGCATAGGTTGAAGTCCTGACAACTCTAAGCCTTCACCGGTGTCACCTGCGCGCTCTGACACTCGTCGACGGGCCATGATCCGTTGTGCTGCTGGCGAACGATTTCTGCTCGGACGTCGGGTGGCTGAAAAGCAAAGGACATCACCTGGACATCAAGACAACAAGAAATCTTTCACCTGCCACCCTGCTGGCTTGATAATCTTGCCGTCCTCTCGCTTCAGAAACTGCCCAGTCTTCGGGTCGCGCTTGGCCATGTTCGCGGCATGTACGACATCGAAGATCGCAGAGAGGTTGACGCCCTTCTTTGCAGCTGCATTCAAGCAGTAGTAGTAGATATCGACGAAGGCGTCTGCTTGCTCAGCGATGATGTCAACTTCCGGCGCGTCTATTTTCGGAATGTCCTTGCTGCATCCAAACATCATTACCCGCAACTATAGGGCAGAAGGCAAGCACCTGGCATCCACGAAGCCCTTCAAGACGTTCTTGGCATTGGTGGCATCATGTACAGTAGCAAATAACTCAAGAACCTGGACAACACTCAAAGACGAGCATGCGATCCAGAGTAAGTACCTCATCAACGATCATCTTGGTGATAAACTTGACTTCCTCCTCGGACATCACCGACGGAACATCGGGAGAGCCTTGTCCTGCCCCGATTGTGAACTCTCGTACCTGCCATGGTCTAAGCTAAGACTTGTAACGTGCAAATGAAGCCAACGTGGTGAGCATCCCGCTTGTCCTGCTGTTGCCACGAGCCATTGGCCATCTGATTTTCAATCTCCTTGCGCACGTCTGGTGGCTGAGAGATATGTTCAGTGAGTCAACCTTGTGAGACAACAAGAAATCTTTCACCTGCCACCCTGCTGGCTTGATAATCTTGCCGTCCTCTCGCTTCAGAAACTGCCCAGTCTTCGGGTCGCGCTTGGCCATGTTCGCGGCATGTACGACATCGAAGATCGCAGAGAGGTTGACGCCCTTCTTTGCAGCTGCATTCAAGCAGTAGTAGTAGATATCGACGAAGGCGTCTGCTTGCTCAGCAATCAGATTTGAATTGTCCTCTGTAGCAAGAATGGGCAGATCCTTGCTGTAATGCCTTCGTCAAGAAGGCAACTGAACATTCCTGGTGTACCTCTCCTCGATGTACGTCTTGAGAGCATCTTTAGCGACTTCAGGTCTCATCACGGTGGCCAAGAGTTCCATGACTTCATCCAGTATCATCTTTCCGATGAAGTTTACCTCCTCCACATTCATTGCTTCTGCATTTGATACATCAATCACACAAAACAAACATCAATCAGAGAAAGACAAACAAGAAAACGCGAGATGCGAGTTCCAGGCATCAATCATGAAAGAGTTTTGAGAAATGGCAAGATTGACTGAGTCGATGCAAATCGTCAAGAGTAGCAGTGCGGGGGGAGGAAATTCGTAAGGGAGTGGCTAGGAGAGAGATCACATCACAGTTGATCACACAAGAGCGATACGCAGGGCAGGGCAGGGCAGGGCAGGGCAGCGCAGAGCAGCGCAGAGCAGAGCAGAGCAGAGCAGAGCAGAGCAGAGCAGAGCAGAGCAGCGCAGAGCAGCGCAGAGCAGCGCAGAGCAGAGCAGAGCAGCGCAGAGCAGAGCAGAGCAGAGCAGAGCAGAGCAGAGCAGAGCAGAGCAGAGCAGAGCAGAGCAGAGCAGAGCAGAGCAGAGCATTGACCTGGGGACGGAGGAACTTTACTTCCTCCTGCTCGAGTGAACTCACGAACTTGTACCGCATCCGACATGGTCGACGCTCCCTTTACCCAACTCAACACCACCCCCCAGTTTGTGAGCACCCTTAGTGATAATACCCCTACACATAATACCCCCACCTTATCTGTTCCGTAATATATGACCTAAAAGTACCCCGTTGAATGATATGTATTTCTCTGTACCCTACCCCCACAATACCCTACCCCTATTCAAAGCCTGCCTTGACACCATACGGGCCCAATAGCGCGGGAAGCTGCTTGTCCTTTGAAAGTTCCGAAGTTCAGAGGCGGACTCGATTTTAAAGCTTCCGAGTCCGAGGGACTCTGGACTCGTTGATGATGCCGCTGAGCCTTCCGAGCGACCGTGCTGAGTCGGCGGCCGGGCCGGGCCCGGCTGGCAGAGGCCGCCGGACTCGGAAGGCTTCGGAATATCCAGGCTCATAATGGTGTTGAATGATGAACGAGTCGGATCATCCCGGGCAGCGTCTGACGCCGCGGACGTGACGCCGCAGCCCCCCCGGGCCGACGCCGGGCCGCCGCCGGCCGGGCGCCGCGGCCACGGTCCATGCCGCCGTACGGTACGGTACTAAGTCACGGCGAAGGACGGCCGCACTGCTCACCAACCGTGGCATCGGAAATCACGGTGCCGATAAGTTACCAACACAATTCAGAGTCAGATCAGAGTACGGTCAGACTTCTGTTCCGAGAAATTACCATGAAATGTGCCGATAAGTTACTAGCACATTTCAGATTCAGATTCTGTCCCTTATTTAAAGTTCCCAGCACGACTCGTGGCCGTCACCGTCCGGTGAGCACCGTGACTGGGCCCCTGGCATGAAAGTTGCAGTGGCTCTGAACGTGTGGAAACCACCAGCCTGTTTCCACTTGTTATCGGAGTGGACTCGTCATTCCATCATGGAAGGAAAGATGTAATGTTTTACATTGTACAATCCCCAAGCCTCTGGCGGCCGGTATTCAGCCCGGCATCATCGAGATGGGGACAGTTGTGAGAGACAGCCACCAAGACCTCCGCAGGTCTCTAGAACGTGAGGAGGTAATGTGGACCCCGGCCGCAGGAAGTGATCACGAAACCACCTGGCCAACGCAGCTTCTGATGCCCTCCATCATCAACTTCACCAGGGGCAGGTGTAAGAGCATTTCTTGTTCTTGGTGCTCTGCCCCAATGCATTGCCTCAAGTGCCCGAGGAAGAATGATGGCACGCCTTGCACGAAGCTGCAAGCAAGGACAAGGCGGATGTGTGTTTTGAACAGCAAATGAATATTTTGGGTGATGAATAAAGGCAAATTTGCCGCGTGATTGTATTGGATTGTTGCTTGGGTTCCCGGAGGCAGGCGTATGTAAGGGAAAGGGTGCAGTTTGGGTAGGGATTTTGTGTTGTACTCTTTCCGAGTTCGCAGCGTTTCGTGTTGCACGCGCTGCGTTTGACCGCTGCACGCGCTTCCTGTTCCGTGGGAGCAATGTACTCAAGATTACCTTCAGCAGTGATTTGTCGACTTCAACATCTTGAACGTACTGCTTCATTTGATATTTTCATCTTGTCCATCGGGGTCGAAACCTGTCAAGGAAATCATTTCGTTCATCGACTTCTTTAGACATTCATGTTTACCTTTTGCTAACCTTTGCAGCCTGGTTTCAATTCCTACACATTTGCTCAATTTGGTCAATTCGTTGATTACATTCACATTTTTCTGGATTGTCATCTATTGTGGATATTGACAAAAACTTCCTGGTTCTTTAGACAACTGTTTCTATCCTCTACCTGGAGCATCACTTCTCAATCGTGTACATTTCAACCGATACGCCGCTTCGTTATTTGCACTGTCAGAGTTCAAATTGAAGCATAAGGATCTTCTTTCTGATTGAGATCTTGACGGAATTCGATCAGTTGCTCAGACTGCGTGGTGGCACAGTAAGGGGAAATGCGCCTACTCGCCACTTCATCAAGTTTCGGTGGTGACGGCGAGAGCGAGGGAACGGCGAAAAGGGAAGCGTGAAGATCCGCTCTCACTTCCATCATCACTGTGAGGCAGCGTGACTGGTGCCGCTGCGGCACTGTTACTGAGTCAGCACCATGATGCTGATGAGCCTGTAAAAGCATCCACCTCGCTGCCGATAAGAGACATAGAGAAGACGGAAGGCAGTTCGGCGCTTCTGATCTACCTACGGCGCTAAGCAAGTCCATGGTGAATCAGCGCCGGGGAGAGTATCCGGGAGCTGTGAATCAATTACATGTAGCTTCGGAAGATTTCAATTAAAACGGAAAATTTGTACCAGAAAGATTGGAAAATCTCAAGATTGGACGTCGCGTCAGGCGGTCCTAGTAGAAACTACGACCCCCAACCCGGTGCTGACCGAAATAGATAGCCGTTAGAACATTGACTAAACATTTGTAACAAGTCTTCTCTCTAGTCCTAGCTAGCAGGAGACCCAGGGTCACGTTACCTCGCGGAGGAGTTTGAAAAAAAAAGACAAAGTTCACCTAGGAATTGGGTCCTACCAAAGCTTTAAAACAGCCACGGTAAATAGGGCCCCCTACTACCTGATGGCGGACGTGGGGGGGAGGACAAGGGCATATATTGTAAGACGAGAGTAGGGAAGAAGGCACGGGGAAGGGAGAAGATAGCGGCAAGGAGGACGAAGAAAGAAGAAGAGAGGAGAAGAGAGGAGAAGAGAGGAGAAGATAGTCAAATCTTATCTTTTATCTGGACGAGCGTCATAGGTCATTGCATTGTCATTATGTCATCGAGCGACCAGGTAGTGGTTTTCAACGATTCTGAGAATGCATCACAAGGACGTGAGACGCAGACATCACGATTGGCGATGAGTAGCATTTCTGTGGATGAAAGCCGAGAGGCCATGGTGGAGACCCCAGTTTCCTGCTCCAAACCTCCTCGACTGCATTACTTGGACAAATTGCGAACATTTTTAACGCTTCTTGTGGTCGTGCATCATTGTTTTTGGGTAGTTCAAGCAGGCTGGGTGCCCTTCCAAAGGCCATGGCAGACTGATAATGCAACGACAGTGATCCAGTACATGATCCTGGCGGGAAACCAGGCGTTCTTCATGGGTCTCTTTTTCTTTTTGGCTGGCCTCGTCACTATTCCGTCTCTGAAGCGCAAGGGTGCGAAGGTGTTTCTGAAAGACAGATTTTATCGATTGATGGTTCCCGCTATCCTTTATGACTTGATCGGTTTCCCTTTCCTCTGGGTTGTCGTTGAAGCTGCATGGAATAGTCCTATGAAGGGCTCAATCTTTTCTTTCGGTAAGGTGTGGACCGACTACTTCATGTTCTATAAAGACCGCGTGTTTGTTGTCAATCATATGTGGTTCACAGTGACTTTGTTTGCCTTCAATTTGACATTGGTGTGTGTACCCGAGAAGTATATTTTTGTTGAACACTCCATCGAATCGATGTCAAAAAAGGAAATCATGATTGTACTGATGAAGATGTCTTTGGTACTGTTCGTTCTCAACTGTGTGCCCCGTTTTTTATTGCCTGACGGTTACATATGGATTCCTGTGTACGGAAATCTTGGATTCCTCATGCAATACAGTTCCGCCTTTGTTGCTGGCATTCTTGCGAACTCTTACCAATTCTTAGATCACATTCACATGGAACATTTGTCCCTCACACTCACATGCAGCACAGTCTTCTACTTTTTATTTCAGATTTTTCAAGTGTACTTATTTGAGGTCATCCGTGGAACAATGGGTTTCTATCCTCAAACGCTCTTCTTGACCCTCTTTGAGCAATCTTTTGCTGTATTTTGGGCATACTCGCTGTTGGTACTTTTTAAAGAATATCAGAATGGAAATCCAACTCAGATCCAGAGTCAAATCATCGGCTCCGCTTATGCAACATACATCATTCATCAGTGGATCATCGTACCATTGGCAATTGCTTTTGCTTACACAAATTTGTACCCGTTAGTTGTTAGCCTGATCTTGTCTCTAGTGTCGCCGTTTCTGGCTTGGGGAGTCGGAATCGCGCTCAAAGCCATTCCTGGATCATCGATTATTCTCTAATCCCTCCTCCTTACCCTTGTCCTGGCGGCAGGGCGGGCGGAGGCTTGGACGAGTGGCAGCCTCGTGGACCGTGGAGTGATGAATCCAGCTTCCGAGCTTGGAGCGTTGAAGGGCTTGGGCTCGGCGTAGAGCAGGGGTCTGATTGACCACGGGGCGGATCAGCTTTGACGTGCCTCTTTGTGTGTGTGTGTGTGTGTGTGTGTATGTGTGTGTGTGTGTGTGTGTGTGTGTGTATTTGGGAGAGAGAAAGAGAGTGGGGGAGGGGGGAGAAGAGTTATTTTGCTTTAGGAATAAATGAATTGGTTTGACAATTCACAAGAGAAAGAGCTGGCAGGATGGACTTCTTTATCACTTCTATTTCTCGCGAGAATCCGTATTCTACATCGAAACGAAGCCAAGACTACTTATCTTTGCTTTTGTACCGTAGGTGTTGTACGGAACGGGATAAATAAACGTCTCTGTGTCATGAGAAGCGATACTGTAACCCCACAAGACATCTCAGAGTCATCCCTTCGGCCAGTGGCCGAAGCAGAAAAATGGTCAACTGGGCTATTCAGCTTCACTTCGCATCCTGGTTTGGATTTCTTTTGACCTCAATTAAAGTGGTTGACTTGTCGATCTCGTCACTGTGCAGGAGGTTGTCTGGAATCTGCCGCTGACCGTCAACCGGGCATCCGGCGGCGCGGCGCCGGGGGCCCGCGGCCCGCGGCCTCATATCGCGGCTCCGAATCCCGGAGCCGCCGCTCCGAGTCGGAGGCGGAGATGCACGGTTCTAGGCTCGCCGAGCCGCCCGACTCCAGTGAAGGCTGCGGCACGCCGCCGCATCCGAGTTCGGTACTACAGTCACTCGCCGCGGACTCCGGGGCGGCGGCCCGCCCGGCCAGCCTGCAGTGACTCCCGCCGGGTCACACTGTCAGTGGCCCAGCCTCCATGACTCAGCCGCTCGGCGCGGCCTTGAACTCAGTGCTCCGCTCTCTCATCAGTGTGGCATATTGCTCCGGGCGCGGCGCTCACCGGGGCTCCGCTCTCAAATACTGTTCTGAGTGGGGACGAGGGCACATGCGGATTGTCATGGCGGGGCCGGGAAGGGTTTGCATCATGCTATATGTTGGACTGCTGCCTCCCGTCAAACCCCCAAACCCATTGTCTCTGTCCTCTCTGTCCTCGTCATCCTCTCTGTCCTCTCTGTCCTCGTCATCCTCTCCGTCCTCTCTCTCCTCGCTATCCCCTTTCTCCTACCTTTCGCCTCGCCCCCTTCTCTCGCCTGTCTCACCGCTCGCGTCTCTCTCGACATCCCCGTTCTCCACCCTCCGCTCTCGACGATCTCCCATCACCTCTCTTGTTCCTCTCCTTCCAACTTCTAACGTCAGACGTTCCTTGTCCTCGCTACCACTGAGGCTCAAGAACGAGAAGCGACGACCCCCGGCCGAAGACCGCTTCCTCCTCCCTCACTCTCGCTTCGAGGGCCGTTTCTTTCCTACCACTGAGTTCGCCACCTTTGAGGCTGAGATGGAGGCCCTGGACCAACTCGATGAAATGGAGCGAGCAAAGGCCTCTTCACTGCCCCCAATCCGCTTCGACGAGAAAGGGGATGTATCCTTTGGGATCCATTGGCGGGAGCAGACTGAGTGGAGCCGACGGTCTGTAGCGGCCAAGGAGCGATGGAAGGACCCAATGTGAGCGATCCTTCACAAGGAGAGTCGCCGCTGACGTTGCAGCAGCGAGAAGTCGGATGCTCTCAAGAAGCGGATGGAGTCGAAGAGACAGGCGCAAGGGAAGAAGAAGAAAGCGACGAGAAAGCAGGACAAGGATTCAGCGGTCGCGACGCAAGGCAAGGAGGAAGGAGATCAAGACCCAAGGACGGAAGGGAAGAAGCGCAAGTCAGACAAGCTTCGTCAGCTTCACCAGGATCAAGGCACATGGTGGCGATTTTTCCTTGTCGTTTCCTCCCTGACTGTGGCAGTCAGGCTGACTGAAAGGCTCCTCTCCGACTCTGAAGTGCGGAAGGGAAGTCTGGAATGGCGTCTGGCGAAGCGAGAGCGGTGAGAGGCAAGCATGCTCAGTCTACGTTGTTGACCGTTGGCAGTTACCGACAAGCGGCACTGGCTCGACTACAAAAGTCTGTACCACTACCTGGGATGATGAATGTTTGTCCTAACATCACCCAAACAGGAGCAAGTCGAGTGATGAAGCAGAAGGGACAGAGCTGGATGTAAGAGAAGAAGAATACGGACACCCTCCTGATGCTTGTACAGCAGGAGCAAAAAGAAGCCATGTTGCGAGCCAGGAAGCGAGAATACATGCGGAGGTAATTACCTTACCTTGTTCGCAAGACACCAGGCTGACAAGACGGAATGCTTGCAAGGTACCGTGAGAAGAAAAGATTGCAAAGAGACGGTGAAAGTGTGGGGGAGATTGACCCTAGGGATGGAGAGGGGCAAGGGAAAGAAACAGAATGAAAAAGATTTCAACTCAAGCTTGACCAGGGTATCTGCTGTCTTACTCGTTAACATCGCATTGAACTCTCAGTATCGGCTCCCATTGCCGCGGCTGCGGCTGGACTTGAAGAATGTTGACTGCCATTACCTGACGCTCGTTAGCGCAGAGCAGAGGGTAACAGGGGAGGACAGTGGTCAGACGAATTGGGCAAAGGGTGGAGGAGAGGGGCAGAGCTTAGAGGAGCGGGGCAGAGAGTAGTAGAGGAGGAGCAGGGTTCAAGGATCAGGCTTCAGAGGGAGGAGCTCACTTCGACGAGGAAGGAGACGGATTCCTCCCCAAGGATGTTGACCTCCGAAGTCTTCGTCTTGGAGCACTGCCGTACAGTCACAACAAGATCATGGAAGAGCAAGGCCCACCAGCTCCACTTCCACTCCCTCAGCCGCGAGCTGCATCCTGACATGCATGGGATGAGTCTTGCGGGAGGAGCAGAAACTAAAGGGGACCTCCTAGCCGCAGCAGCCGCTTCATCCAGTTGGACGAGCGCGAAGCGGGAGGGAGCTTCTCTCTGAATCCCTCCCTTAGAGATGGACTTGAGCATCCTTTTCTGGTTGCTGTCGACGATCTTGAACGTCCTTGTCTGCCCCGGCGCGATCATCTGGAGAATCGGTAAGGGCCGAACTTGCCGCCGCCACCGCACCTCCTCTCGCCCCACTACCATGCCATACAGTTCTCTCATGCCCTGCCACTCGTTGATCAGATGCCCATTGCAAGGGAAGGCTCGTTACCATGGTTATGACTGGGCTCCTTCGGCGCAATGAGGGGGAGGATCGGGAGGAGAGGAGAGGAGACTTGACGAAAGGAGGGAGAGAGAAAAGAAGAGGGAGGGGCTTCACGTTGCATGAGGGGGAAGAGAAGGAGGAGAAGGAGGAGAAGGAGGAGAAGGAGGAGAAGGAGGAGAAAGAGGAGGAGGAGGAGAAGCCGTATACTGCGACGGCTCGAGCGAGCAACAGTAGCCATGGCACGATCGGATCCCGCACCATGGTCTGTATATCAAGTTGGGTCCGCCTCAGGGAGAGCTTTTAACTAATAAAATAAAGACTGATTCTGCTCTCCTCCCTTCTCATTATTCCCTCCACTCCCGGCTTCCGAACTCTGCTCTGCCCTGCCCTGCCCTGCCCTGCCCTGCCCTGCCCTGCCCTGCCCTGCCCTGCCCTGCCCTGCCTTGCCCTGCCTTGCCCTGCCTTGCCCTGCCCTGCCCTGCCCTGCCCTGCCCTGCCGCCCTGCCCTGCCCTGCCCTGCTCCGAGGCTCTGCTCTCAACGGCGTTCCGACCGTCTGGACAGTGATGTACTGAGGCGGCCCGTGACTTGCATCGGACCGTCCGACCGACGTCGATACCCAGGCTGTGATAGGAGGGAGTGGAGGGTTGACCTTATAGTTTAAGCACTTTGATAACTTGAGCTCAGTAAGGGACTCGCTAGTCCAACAGCTTCAGGATCGCCTTGAGCTGCCAGACCTCAGCAGCCTGCGAGGAATCAGCGAGCACAACGACACGAGCAAGAGGAGGAGCAAGGGGAAGAGCAAGAGGAGGAGCAATGCTTACCTGCAGCTTCCTCACGATCTGCTCGCAGAGGTCGCGCCTGTCTCCCTCCTGACCAGCTTCCTGTCGCCTCTGCCCCGTCGCCTCCCCCGTCGCCTCCCTGCTCTTCGCTATGATCTCTTCACCCTCACTCGGTACCGGGTCCTTCACCTCCTTCTGCTTTGCTGCCTCATTGTACCTGACCTCCAGCTCGTCCGCCTCCTTCCTCTTCTCCTCGTGGGCAGTGGCAGGTGGGCGCATAGCTCGTGGCTGCTGCTTGTCCCAGCTGGGGTCGTCCTGGAGGAGCTCGACGGCCTCGGGCACCAGCGGCTCATCCATGTCAGTGTCTCGTGGGTCACTGGCGGCGTCCCAGTAGTTGACGCCTCCTCGGAGGAGGATGGGCTTGTTGTGCCAGACAGAGAGGAAGAGCTTGCCGAGGTGGCCGGGGGATGAGAAGGCGACGAGGAGGTAGGGGGAGTCGATGGGCTCGAGGGTGACGGCGAAGTTGAGGCTGCACTCGCGGTCGAGCTTGAACTGGATGGGCGGGGGGTTGAGCATGTCAGAGCGGGAGAGGTCGATCCCCTTGTCCTCGATCGTCTTGCGCTTCAACAGCACGAAGCCGATCGGGTTCGCGGCATCCGCGTCCTGCAGTGGCTGGGGCTGGGCGAGGGAGATGAAGCAGAGGGTGCGAGGCTCCGACACGTGAAGCTCGAACTGCGGGTTCAGCAGCCACTCGCCGCGCGTGTCGTCAGGCTGGAAGGGAGGACCTTTAGCTCCTCCTCTCGTCCAGTACGCCTTGGATCGCGTGATGGTCCACGAGGAGGGGAAGAGGCGGTTGACGAGCAGGCAGCCTGACTGGAAGGTGAGGTACATCTCTCCCTTCTCCAGCGTCCCGTCTTCCCCGTCCGCCTTCATCCAAAACTTGTTGGGGTCGTCGTGGGGGCATTCAGCAGCTAGAGCTCGATACTTGCTCCAGTTGCTGCTGCTGTTGCCCCAGTCCCCGCTGTACTGCGAGTCACCTTGCCAGGGGTTCCACAGCTGCACCATCCTCCCTCCCTCCAGCTCCTTCAGCGCTAGGATGGGATACACTCGCCCCTTGTGCAGCGACACACAAGCAGCCGTGCTGGCTCCTCCGCCGAAGTAGAAGCCGAGCATGCAGCCGCTCTTGAGCCAGTCCACCATCTGCCGCCACAGCGACCCGTTGACCACTCGCGTGAACACGTCGGGAGCTCGAGACTCGTCGAGGAGGAGGACCTGCGGAGCCCCTGCGCCCCCGTCAGACGAGCGACTCGCCAACTTCCTCACCTGCTGTCAGGTCCTTGAGCGCGTGCTGGATCCTCCCCTGCGACAGCCGCTCGTAACAGCCGAAGGCCTTGGCGTAGGCCTTCTCAAGCAGCGGAAGCCACATGATCCGCTGCGACCGCATGTCCTCCTGCCCGAACGAGCCTTGTGCGTCCACTCCCGCAGAGAAGAGGAGAGCCCTCGAGTCTTTTTTTGCGGGGAGGCTGCGCCAGCAGGTCAGGAGCAGGAGCGGAGGGAAGGAGCAGCAAAGGCTACCGGTCATCGATGATCACTTTCTTCCACTTGCCCTTCTTGAAGACGCGGATCACAAAGACCCCGCACTCCGTGTTCCACTCCACGAAGAGCGACTGCAGCTGCTCGAGCTTCGTCGCTACCTGCCGGTCACCCTCGTCAGCCCCCCCCCTCCCTCGTCAACGACCGAGACCGCAGAAGCTGCTGCCAGAAACCAAGAGTTGGCGATGCTGCCCTGCTTGATGACAGAGCTCTTGCCTCCCTCGGGAAAGAGGATGGGAGGACTGGTGGGGGGCAACCTGCGAGCGGAAAGTGAGGGAAGGAGAGTCAGGAATTCGAGCGAGGATCACCCGCAGTTCAAGTGCTCGCGCAAGTCTGGCTGGCCGTGCCAGCAGGGGCGGAGGAAGGAAACTTCCTCCACCTTCCACCTCTCCGAGTCCGACGAGCGATTGAGCATCTTGCTGCCGACAGGGAAGTCCGGGTCCTCGTACTTGCACTGCAACTTCTGACAGCACGCGATGATCTGCTTCGCGCTCCTCCTCTCCTTCCCTGGCCCCTTCTGCTGGCTCCCACCCGACGGGTTTTCTTGGAAGATCTTCTCTTCGAGGTCAGCCGCCTCGAACTCGTAGTCCGACTCCTCGTCCGACTCCTGCTCGTCCTGCACGCCTCCCTTGGGTTGGATCAGGTTGTCTCCCCCTCGCGGCTCCAGCTGCACCGGCTTGTTGGCTGTCACGGTCAGCCAGAACTTGAGCTCCCCGACGACTTGGCTGGGGTCGAACACCATGGGGATGATGACAAACTCGTCGCGCTCCTTGCCAGGGTCGAGGATCTTCGGTGCAGATATGACAACGTCGCGACTCCTCTTGAAGGGCTTCGACATCAGCTCCACGTCTGCTCGCTTCAGCTGAGAGCCAAGCTTCTTCCCCTCAAGTACTCTCTTCCGCACCACCGCCACCCCGATGGCAACATTGTACTCAGCAGGCTCCTTGAACGGCTTTCGGAAGGAGGGGGTAGATGCCCCTCGCTCGTAGTCGGGGTTGAACCTCGAGTCCTGTTGCGTCACCGAGATGAACACCTGCGTCTTCTCTCCCGTCGCCAACTTTAGCATCACCTGCGGGTTCTGCCACCAGTTGGGGTTTCCCATCTTCGGCAGGCCCCCGCAAAGGCGCGCCGTCTTCCGCCATGCTCCCTGCACCACCAGCGGCTCGGGCTGTGGGTGTGTGGAGCGTGGCACATACCAGGAGGGAGGGAAGAGCTGGCAGATGTGGAGGACATGGAAGTATCTTGTCCAGTCTTCAAAAGTCATCCAGAAGCTGCCGCCCATGGATGCCTTATCATAGTCCAGCGCCTTAGCTATCTCCGGATTTGCCACCCACTCCGGCCCGTCGTTGGACCACATGCCGCTCCAGGGGCTCGAGTTCGTCTGCACGTTGGGCTTCAGCTTCATGAACCGCATGCCCACCGCAGGCTCCTTCACGTCCAAGATCGAGTACACGCAGTGACTCTTGAAGTCACCGTCGAAGTCCGTAGTTCTCCCCTCCCTCTCCACTTCCTGCCAACACCCCAGCAGACCTTGCTTGCACCAGAGCAGCAGCTGCTGCCACAGGTACCCATTCATGATCTGGTCCTGCACATTCTCCTCTCGCAAGTTGATGGCCTGTGCGGCTCCTCCTGTCAGGTCCCTCAGCGCATAGGTCACGCTCCCCGTCACCAGCGCTTCGTAGCACCCGTGCATCTTCGCGTACGCTTTCTCCAGCAGCATCGGCCAGATCTGCTGAGGATCGCTACTCCGAGTGTACAGCGGGACGTTCACTTGGTCGCAAGGGATCCTGTCGTCGATGACAACATTGTGCCACTGCCCGTACTTGTAGTAGCGGACGGTGTAGATACCGTACGCCCTCCCGTTCTCGGTGGAGGGGATCAGAACTTCCAGCAGATCGCGTCGTCCCACGAGGCACCCAAGGGCCCCAACAAACCAGCCGTTCCCTAACGACCCCTCCACCAGGGGCGCTGCCTCCCCAAACACCACCGCTCCTCCGCTGCTTACGATCTGGTGGGGCCGGATCCACTTGACGGCATCATGGGGGATGTGATGCCTGGAGGGCTTGCGAGGGTCCATGAAGAGCGAAGAGGCAGCGGCAGGGAAGTCCGGGTCGACGAACTTGCCGCCCTCATCGCGGTTCGCCGGGTCCGCTAGCAGCTCTTCCTCCCTCGAGCCTGAAGTGAAAGGGATCAGCATCTCCCGCTTCGCAGACTTCTCCCCCTTCATCGTCATGTGCTGCTGCTCCTTTCCCTTGAGAGCCGAGGGATCGGAGCTACCCGTGAAGGCCTTCGCCTGCGGGAGACGCTTGATCTCTCCTGGCCCTTTCGACTCAGTCGCCACCTCCACCTCGCCTGGCTGCTGCTTTCCCCACGATCTCGTCAGCTTCCGAGGCACAGGGTTTCCTCTCGTGGTGCTCTGCGGAAGCCGAGAGCCTTGCTGGGCATGCAGCTGCTCGAGCTTGGAGGCCTTCTGTCTGACAGCCTCCTGCACGCCTCCTGCACCGCTCCACTGTCGGACGCCATCGCCTGCTTGACTTCGAGGGGCTCGGCTCGCAGCGTTGGAGGAGGCAGCGGGTTCAGGAGCGAAGGAGACAGCAGGTCTGCCATGAGAGGAAGAGGAGGATCTGCCTGCCCTCGCCATCGCCTGGCGATCCTTCATCGCCAGGTACTCCTCCAGCTCCTCGTCCTCCATCCCCGCCATTTCCCTGGAGAGTGAAAGTTTTACTCAACCCCCAACCTAAAAGACAGCAAGTTATGAATACAAGTACTAATAGACCTTCAGGGTATGAGCGTCGGCCCGGCGGCCGGGCCCGCCACTGAGCTGCCCTGAGGGACTCACCCAGCCAGGCCGCCGTGTTGAGAGACTGAGGCTCAGTCCGAGTGACCCGACGGGGTTGGGGGGCCGGGCACTGGTCAGAGCGCAGCCGGCGGGCCGGTCCGGGCCGGCCGGCACTCACTGCCGCCGGGCCGCCGGGCCGGGCAGACCGTACGGTCGCCGTGAAGGCTGTGACTCAAAAGTTTGGAACTTTGGAAGTTTGAAAGTTTCTTCTCGCCATCCGAATGTTTGAGCGTAAAGTTTGTTTCACCGGGCGTCACAAACTGACCACCCCCACCCCTCCTGCCATGGACCCCTACCAGTAATACCGTGAAAGAAGCAGCGAACACTACCCCACCCCACTCAAATAGCGTTCTATACCCAGAGTTTTCTAGGTACCTGACCACCCCAACGACAATATACCCCTGGGTGAACTACCCCACCCGATCTAGGAAATTGAACCCGTCTTTCAGCCTGCTGCTCCACCCACCCCACCGCCCCTTATCGCATCTTCGCTTGCCATGCCCCGCCTCCTCTGCGGTCTCCTCCTCGTCGTCGCCGCCGCCGCCTTCGCTCCCCCCCTGGTACTGTTCTGACTAGCCCCTCCTTCTCTTCATCATCCTTCCCGCATCCCTTGCTCCTGCCTTCATCATCTATTTGCTTGCCGCGCAAGACTTCAACCAACTTGATGACGGCCCCCAATCTTGTACTTACTTTGTTCGTTTCCTATAATTCGATATGGTTGTCGTGTTCAGGCGCCTCCATCATGCCCGAAGGTTAGTATCCTCTTCTCCCCTTCTTCTCCTTGCTTGTCTGTCGTGTCTCGCCATCTTTGACGCTGTTTTATCGCAGGTGTCTGGTGTGTCGAGAATTGGAATGCAATTGGCTTCTCCCCAAATCGCCAAGCCCAAGGTAAGCAAGAGGATGATTGCAGGAGGGCAGAAGGATGATGATGACTAGAAGCAAGAGGTGGAGTAGTGGTTTCTGATAGCTGCATCTCAGGTAGATATCGGCCATCAGCTCGGAACCACTCAGCCTGAGGCTGGAAAGCCAAGTAAAGCGCTACTGGTTGCTGTAGTTCGCTCACATGAATCTGTCAGAGGTCGCGAAACCTAAGGCAGCGCCCAAGCGAAAGACTCAGGACGACGAATGCCCCATGTACAAGGTACGCCAGGAGGACAAGTGGGGTGTGGGATTTGGGAGAGCGGGTGAGACGTAGGCAGGAGCATCTTTGAACTTGAGGCAGGTGATCCTCCTCGGAGACAACGAGTACGAACAGTCGCACGTGGTGACACAGATTACCAAGGTGATGCCGCGACCTGCAGGACAGCCCATGTCCCCGCGGGCTTCCCTCTCCCATCCAACTCAACATGTTTACAGCTCATCCCCTCAATCAGCAAGGAAGAAGGCATCCGCATCTTCGTCGAGGCACAGGTAAGGAGCAGCAGGAGCTGCATGGGAGCTGCATGTTCTGACGTTAAGTCTCGTCTAGATGACAGGCTCCTCCGTCATCATCGTCTGCACAGAAGAGCACGCAGAGCACTACGTGCAGCAACTTAAAAGGCAACAGATTTACGCGAAGATGGAGAAGGATGAGTGATTGTTTGTATGGTAGTAAACGAAATCAAACTGAGAGGCTCCAACCTCTTCAGCTGCTGATCGAGACCGATGCCTGCGCCAACTGCTTGTCGTGGGCCTCCTCGCTCGCCGAGTGGACGTACCTGCAGTAGGTCAGACCAGAGTCATGCAAGGGCGAGGAGTCAGAAACACCAGAGGGAAATGGCCTTGGCGAGCTCAGGGCGGTCGATGACTCCATCGCCGATGACATCCGCATGATCGAGGACCCACTGGACCTCCTCCTCCCTGCACCACCGTCAGCGGACACAGTGAGTGGTGATGGTGACATGGCAGCTCTACCTGGGCATGATGTTGTCGTTGAGCTCCATGAGAAGAGACGCGAGCTGCTGGCGATCCAACGCGCCATCTCTGAGAGACATGATGAGAGGAGAAGCATGTTCACTCGCGCTCACCCATCCTTGTCGTGTCGGTTAAACACTTCATCGATCGTGTCCTTGCTCTGGCAAAAAGTTACTTCAGACGACAGCTGAGATTACCAGCTACCGCAATGTAGGACATCCAGGCCTCTGCCGCAGGAGCGAAGAATTCTGGGCTAGGAAGACATTATGATGAGCAAGCATACAGAAGGAGACGAGCAATGGGGGAAGAGACGGGCATTACTGGAGTGAGAGGAGAGTATAATCCTGTTTCTTGCTTGCTGCAGCCATGGACATAACCCACTTCACCTGAGCACATGGACAGTCAGCTAGGGAAGAAGGAACGGAGAGGAACGAAGAATACCTCAGCATCGGTCACAGGGTGTCCCTGGGCGATGGACTGCAGCCAAGTGCGCAACTCCTCGAAAGTGAGCGAGCCTGTTTGCATCGATGAATATTGAAGGCATTGACAACACTGAAGGAACTTTGACCTGTTCCACTCTTGTTCCATTTCAACAGGATGTCCTTGACAAACTGGTTCCAAACGTCTTCAGTCACATGCAGGGAGGGAGAAAATCAAGTACCTGTTTCTGTTCGTGCTTGCGATCGATGAGCTCCCTCTTCTTGGCCTGAGAGCAGTAATTTAAGAAGCCAGCATTGAGCAGCCAGAGGCCGACAGACTCTCACCGAGTGCTTCTTGACCAGAGGGTTGGTCTCATGCAGACCAAGGCTGGCAAACATGTGGTTGACATCTCGATGATTAGCCTGCAATCAACCCGATGAGGGGCGAACCGCAGAGAAGCAAGCATTGACCTCGTCAGCTCGAATCACGAGGAACAGGTCCCGCATGGTGGCGTCTGGCTTCATGTGCCAGTAATCGATGGCGATCTGAGGAGCTCGCTGCAGACAAGCGAGTCATGCCAACACGAATCCTGGGATCTGCACTCACGGCGTTTCGGAAGGAGGCGAGCCGACCATCGTCGATCGCATTGAGGATGTCAGTGTAGGTCTTGACAGCCTCTTCCTCCAGGTAGCCTACGAATCGATGGCAGATCTTCGGGTACACCATGTAGGTCAAGAAGAAGAGGTTCATGAAGATGCCCTGAGTGCCGATGACCGCGAGCCTGAAGATAGGGCCAGGCTTCTTGATGGTGACGAACGTGAGGAGATGCATCCTCTCGTTCTCAGCCTCCTCGAGGAGCGTGTGGATCCATCCATGATCGCGGTTCATGGTGCGCAGGGAGCGCAAATGCCTGAGCATGCCCCCAACCATGCCAGGCACACCAGCGACGGTCTCAAGGAAGATAGCACGGTTGATGACTTTGCTCTCTGTGATGTTCCCGATCTTGTAGCCGGAGAGGGTGTCAAACGTCCACCTTGCAGCCTGGACGGCAGAGAGTGCCAGTGAGTCTGCGCGATCATGAGGGTCGACGTGGGTCTTCTTCACGCCATAGACTTCTTCTTCAGTCCAGACCTGCGACGCCATGTCATGCGCGCAGGGGGAAAGAGCTCAGCGCCAGCACCGAGTGCTGGAAGGGATTGTCCCAGACGTCGTCTTCCACTCCCTTCTTCACTTTCTGCACTCCGAGCGAATGGCGATTGGGCGATGTTTTGAAGTGCACCTGTCGCGTGCGTCATCGCCATCTTGGTCAAGCATGCGCGCAACAACCATGTCATGGATGATCTCTGGGTTTGGCGGCAGCGGGTTTGGACCATGAATCCATCGTCCCGCAGAAAATTGTTTGCCCGAGCGAACAAATACCGGAGAGAGCTTCCGAAGGCTGTAAAGCATGATACCTGCTGACTTCTTCAGCTTAACCCAAGAGAAATGCTACGAATATGCATCCAAATACAATCTTCTTGTATCCAGAAAGAGTGTTTGTTTCTATGATACACTGATACACTACTAAACTTCAACATCATGAAGTATCAGGCTTCTTTTGCTCGCAAGACTTCCATTCGTCCTCTTCTCAGCCATAAATCCCAAAGCTGTCCTCCTGTCTTATTCTTAAACCATCTTTCTTTCCTCTCATTCTACTTTCCACTCTTTCCTTCACACAACCCTGACGTGTGATGTTCAACTTTCCGCACCCTGACATTTTGTAATCCTGACACTCGCCTTCACCTCCGAACACGTCTCGACTCAAGTAATCTCCTATCGTCTCCTCTCTCCTCGTATCCTCATATCGTGTCGTCCCATCATCTTTTCTCTCCTCTCCTCTCCTCCATGATCCCATCTCTTTTCTCTTTGTCACGCCCCAAATCCACCATTAGAGACGCAAAATTGAGCCGTAGAGCCACCCTACCCATTACACTAAAATACAGGTACCCTACCCATCAAAATAGAACAATTCTTCCTGTGATTGCGGGGTTCACAGATACAGGGGTGGGTATTCAGATTGCTGGGGAACCAAGGATGATACCGGGGCCAGGCTAGAAGTACAATATGGGTTCAAACTGATGGGGTAGGGTAGTCCCAAGGGCAGGTAATTAAGTGGAAAATAGGGGGTAATTTCATGGGGAGTCAGGGGTAGGGGTAGGGTTGCTTACTTCTGCTTACGGACTCTTGGGTGACGGGTCGCCTTCTGTCAGTCACTGAGTGAAAGGCCGGGTGAAGGTGCCGGCGACCGGCCCTGTCAAGCGGGGGGATGAGGGGGGAGCGATCGGGGTGCCAAGGGTCGCGGCATGCAGGAGTTGTCGCCAACGGTGCGGGGAAACCCGGTGAGGATGGCATGCTGAGAGGAAGAGAGGAGAGGAGAGGAGAGGAGATAAGCAGAGGTGAGAGGAGCGGGTATGGTAGGTATGGTATGGTATGGTATGGTATGGTATGGTATTAGAGTCTAGACAATTGCGCGATTCGATGTTTTGAACCGAGTAGATGAATTCATGAAACTTGTGTGCTGTTGTAGCATCATCACGATAATCCTGTCAAGAGTGGAACTTGTCTTTCTATCTTGAAAGTCTCGTGCAGAGATGTTGATGTGCTTGTCTGAAGGGTGCATCGTTTGTTGTGAAATAATCCGAAACAGAGCGATCAATGTTTGACGGAGACTTGCTTTGATCCCCCGCAACGCTCTCCCTCTGATGTCCATACACACCACATTGACTGATTCAAAATCATGATGTCATGAATTACTATGGGAATCCTGGATTCTCTCTCTCCTCATTTAGCTAGACAAACCTGTTTAATCTATCCCGTGCTAATCGAACTTTCTTCTCGCAGCTCCTGAGGCTGGGCCGAGCACAGTCATGTCTCCTGCCCATCCTTGCGACGAGCATGTGTGTTCTGCTAGCGGTCTACCATGTTCGCTATCCCTCGACTCCTCAGGTGAACGTTGTCCCGTCGTCACCTGTGCTTTGCATTGATTTCAACCTTGCAGATCCTACATAGTGTTGCAAGCCCAAGCAGGCCGATAGGCCAGCCTGCTCGCGTGGAATACGTGAAGGGAGATCGTGACAAGCCTGTTGGAACTTTGGGAAGCTCCAAGGAGAGAAAGGTACATGCTGCAGTCTACCTACTTACCCCCTGAGGGCACTGACTCGTGGTAGTTTCTTAATGACTTCGTGGCTGGAGCGAGGAGAAAAGCGAAGATGATGGAGGCTGAGAAAGAGCTGGACCGATATTCTCTGATGGCAGAGGAGGCTGTTTCGAACTTGCGGGGGAAGCAAGCTCCGGCTGGTTCGGAAGGGCCTGCTGCGGATGGGTCATCGGTAGCCAAGAAGCTGCTGTCCAAGACCAAGGACGAGATCAGGACCATTGAGAGTGACTTCGAGAAGTCTATCGCCCGGCATGCTGGCTCGGAGCGCAAATCGTCAGAGTCACATGCTGTCCAGCCTCCGAAGCAGCAGCTCGAGAAGTTGCTCATGATGGACAAGCTTGCCTTGTCTGACGAGATTCACATCAAGATGCCGCAGAGCTCCCAGGGTGATCCGTAAGTTGAAGTTTGCGGTCGATAACCCTTCCTGAATTTGCTGGTCAGGCTGAGAGAGCAATGGACGGACGAAGGATGGAAGTCAGCGTCTTCGTCACGGCAGCCACGGGGGTCAAGGATGGGTGCCGTGCGGAAGTTGCCACAGCAGGCGTTACATCAAGGGATGATAGAAAACTCAGTGGGCGAGAGCAGGAGGGCGCCGATGAAGGAAGGGAACTTCAACGTGCCTTATGCTCCGATAGGAGGCTACCAGGGGGCCATGGGACTTGGAGGGAACTTCCACACCAGCGGAGACTCTCCTGCCTTGTCTCTGAACGAGGAGGGGGGGGCTGGTTGGGTGCCCTATGTGGACGACGAGGGAAGGGACAAGTACTACACGCAGGATGTGATCGGGGCAGGGACGTCGCACTACAACGTGCTGAACTCGAGGACGCCCCTTCTTGACCAGGGGGTGAGGGGAGAGTCAGACTTGAGCAGCGGCATGAGCGAAGAGGGAGACAAGGGGCTACTGGACCAGAACGACCACTTCATCGACTACGTCGACAACGAGGGGCGGGAGAAGAAGTTCAGGGAGCTGGGAGTTGTCACTTCAGTGCACAGAGGGAAGACTGTCTCTTGCCTCAAGAACTGTGATGAGGAGAGGAACACAACTCTCACCCCCGTCGGAACCTTCGAGGCTGCCCCCAGCTCAGACGACTGGCCGCAGATGACATCCCGGTCCGTCAAGGCTGAGAGCGAGTCGGACACGGACGACATGGACTCCGAAGCTCCGGCGACGGAAGTTGAGGCAGAGACCAACAAGCTGGGAAGGGACCTGGCTGACCTGAGAAGAACAGCTCAGGTCAAGGCGGACGACGAGCACGAGGAGCAGCTGTCGAAGCTCGACGATTCGCACGCCTCCGCTCTAGAGGCTCTCGACCTTGCGAAGAAGGTTGCGGACGACCAGGTGGAGGAGATCGATCTGAAGCACTCGATCAAGGACCTTCAGTGGCAGCTCAACGCCTCATCTGAAGCCTTGGACTACGCGCAGAAAGACGACTTCAGCTATGTCGGCAAGATTCCGCCAGGGGGGCAGGAGGGGAACCTGGAAAGGCTGTACAAGGACGAGGATCCGTTGCTGCTTGCTTCCATCCGCCGTGGCGATTTCGTGCGAGCAGGGCCCAACGGGGAGGTGGAGCCTTATGTAGACAGCCAAGGGAACGAGATCTCTGACGAGAACCTTGAGAAGCTGAAGAAGAAGACAGGAGACGACCTAGAGGTTAGACGACCTTGTTGTTTGTTCGCGGCTCCCTCCTCGTACTCTGCTCCTTCCTCTTAACTCCCCGTCCCCCTCCTTGCTCTCCTTTCTCCTTCCTCCTTCCTCCTCTCCATCGTCCTTCCATCTTCATCTCGTTCTCTCTTCGCCCTTGCTTGACTCTCCTTCCAGCATCTGGACTCGCGCGCCAAGGACCTCTTCGATGCCCTTCCGCTCGTCGACAGTCACATGCTGGGAGACGACAAGGAGACACCCACCTGGGGCTTCAAAGACATGATGAAGGCGGGGAAGGAGGACCCCGTCCCCAACGAGAAGTTGGACCGGTTGTGCCTGCTCTGCGAATCCCTCTCCGATGACGGGAAGCTAGAATCCGTCCCAATATGTCAAGGTGACTCTTGGCTCTACCCAGTCCTTCCTCCTCCCTGCTCCTCCTTCTCCATCGTCTTCCTCCTCCCTTGCATCTCCCTTTGTTATGTCCACTCGCCTCCTGCTCACGGCTCGACCAGGGTTGAGCTGTGTGACGGGAGCCTGGCAAGACAGCATTGACAATCACCCGTACGACGAGCATGTGCTGCAGGTAAGACTTCAGCGACGTCCACTTCCTTTTCTTTCTCGTGTCTCCTTCCTCCTTGCGCTGCCTGCCGTTTTCCACCCTCTTCCTCCTGCTTTTTCCCTCCTCCTCTGCCTCTTCTGCATCGCACCTGGCTTGTTCGTCCCTCATGTTGTTCCAGGTGGCTCTCCATCCTCCCACGAAGGAGCTTCGCAAACTTGGAGTGCTGGACCGTGCGGAGCATCCGGAAGCTTACAAGGAGTATCCCGAGGAGAAGATCCGAGCCGGGTAGATGAAGGAGGAGACGGAAGGGGAGAGGAGTGGCGGTGATAGGGAGGCAGGATGGAAGGGATAGAATGCAAGACTCAGGAGGAGGGCGAGGGAGAAAGATGGAGGTGGGGACGTTGCGGGAGTATGAAGAGATGAAGGAAGGGAAGGGGGAGGGGAAGGGGAGAGCACGAGGGTGAGGGAAGGAGGGGAGGGCTGAATGTGGACAGTGGGAGGATGAAGTTTCAAGGTCGAGCTGACAGTCTGCCGGGCAGTCTCATCGCTTACTACGATTCGACTCACAAGAAGCCGAGGGGTCAGGAGGACTCGATGGCAGGGCAGACGACGAGCCTGGCGCAGAACTTCCCCCAGAAGCAGAAGAGGAGGATGAGTAAGGGGCAGGTGCGGGCGCTCGCGTGCGACTACCTATCGTCCTCTCCGTCTCGTGGCCATGTCGAGGAGCTTCAACGTCTCTTCCTGCGCAAGTTCGGGGAAGGCTTGAAGTGCACTGGGGAGGAGCGAGGGAGAGCACATCAGCAGGTGAAGCAGGTAAGCTTGTGAGGACGATGACGATGGTGGTGGTGATGAGGTGCAGAACTTGGCGATGAAGCCTGAAGAAGAGGCGAAGAAAGATCAGGAGGAAGAGAAGCTTGAGGAGGAGCAGAAGGAGGAGGAGCAGAAGGAGGAGGAGCAGAAGGAGGAGGAGCAAAAAGAGGAGGAGGAGGAGGAGGAGGAGGAGGAGAGGACAGTTTACCTCTACGTCGGGCGGGACGCGCGAGCAGCCTTCCAGTACAAGGTCGTCAGTCATGCTGGCATCTGTGAGATGACTAAGAGGTCAACAGGTCGAAGACATCCTCTCAAAAC